TGGACTTTTGTACCAATCATATAAAACTGGATGGATTGGTATCCTCAACTCCTTGTTGTTCTCCTGCCATAGTTACTTTTTTAGAGCCACTTAAACATTATGCTAATTCTGATATTCACAAGGACAAATTTTAATAAAGCCTCAATTTGACGTAATTTTGTTCTTTGCTGGAGTATTACCTGTGGTTAGCTCACTTTTTATGTTTGCACATGACTTGCTTGTGTTCTTTTGACTTATCTTTAGTAAGCCAAAAAAAGTGACTTGATCATTAACTGGAATGAGTTTTCCCTGAACTTTTCAACTCCTCACATCCCCATGTCTTTTTCTTTTTTTTTAACTTAAGCTAATGGTTCCGGTGTTTTTGGAGTTCTTTCTACACACACAGGTATTCAGACATACTCTACTGACACGCACATTCTCTCTTGACACTGACGCTGCCTAGCAGTCATGTCATCTGGCTTTATTTTCCTGCTGACTGAAGTTCACTGCAAAAGACACAGAGAAGTACACATGTGGACAAAGACGACTGTACCTGTCATCTCTGTTGAATAGATTTACCTTTGCCTCATTTTGTTCTGTGTGTCCATCACCTCTATTCTCTCTGGGATGATGACTCAGTGGGCTCCTGTGGGACTTCATATGTCGGTGGGAAAGAAAGGTTTTCGGCCCACTGCTTGGCGCCACTTTGCCTGCTCTTTCTTCTTCTTTGCCAAGCACTCTTTCTTTTAATGAGACAGTTCAGGTTCTCTGTACTCGCTCCTGGGCTAAAGTTCGTGGTGTGTGTATCCGTGTCCATGTGTAAGTGTGCGCACCGCTGCAAGGCTTTTTCAACTCTTCCACTATGAAGAAGCGGGTCTTCACAGCGGGTCGAGTTCTGCGTTGCCTCAGGTCCTCTAGAAAACAACTGAAGTAGAGCGACTTAAAGAAAGACCGACAGTTGGGATGAAAAGAAAAATAACTTGACCTGAACATGTCCCAGAGGACCCATTAGTGACACTTAGGAAGGGGTTTTTCCTCTAAACTCATTCCAGTGCCAGTTCAGATGTAGTTCTTAGTTAAAATGATTTCTTAATGTTTTCACCACCAAACCTCTGACTGCTATGCAACTCTTTTCTGGGACTGGACAACTGAACAACCTACCCAAGGTCAATTGTCCGCTGACTGGGACTTTCACTGTTGTGACAAAATTTTTAGTTGCATTTGGTCTATGGTCTTTTCTGTCAGTCAGTTGTATCTAGTCTAAGAAAATGGCCTTTTTTTTAGTTGGAATACTCCAATTAACGACTAATCGATTATTTCTAGGTATTAAACATTTCAATTACTACTTCATGCACTAAATTTTTTTTCTGATTTTTGTAAAATGCTTTGTTATGGTGTGATTGAGAAGCAGCATTTGAAAATATACAAAAGCATCCCGAGATGGACTGATGGTTCCATTCTCATCTGGGGTTTCTATGGCGACCAACTGTAAACAAACACTTTCAGACAACTGTCAGATACAACACCTGCTCATCAGAGGTGAGACAGAAGAAAACTGCTAAAGTTATGGAGGAGAAAAACAACAACCCTGTCAAGAATCCTCCGTTACCTTCTTACAAATTAGCCAAGCTGCTGCACGACTCTGAGACCGAGAAGAAGGTGCTGGCGTCACAAGTTGAGGATCTGAAGGTTCAGCTTCAAACTGCCAAGACTCATATTGAGAACAACAAAGACACGTCCAGCAAGCTCGCTGCCAAGCTGCAGGCACAGAGAATGGAGATGGAGCACCTCCACCTGCAGATCAGAAAGATTGACAAAGCTCTCCAGAATGCCAGAGGAGACTGTGACTTAAGCCAGCAACGAGGTAATCGTAAGAATCACACGATGCCATCAGGGAGACGCAGCAACTTAAAGATGTTCAGTGAGCCACAAGACATGTTGATGAAAGAACTGAATGACAGCAGAGATCAGTTCAAGGAGTTTCTAGAGAGCAGAGCCCACATTGAGCAAGCAAAATTGCAAGAGATCCAGAAGATCTTGAGCAATATTAACGTATTAAGAGACTTGGAAGACTTAAAAGTCGCCCACAAGGCAGAGAAAGACAAGAACCTTGCTCTTCAGCAAGAACTGGAGCATATTCAAGCACATCTCAGGCAAGAGGACAGATTTCACGCTCAACGGGCATTAGCAGATCTGTTTCTCATCCGAGAGCTGAGGGCCGTCATAGAGGAGCAGCAGAACAACGTCCACGAGATGAGGCCGCTGCTTAGCACCACCGAAGATCTGGAGGCACTGACTCTCGGAGAGGACACGCTGGAGCTGCTGGAGCAGAGTTTGAAGGCTGCGGAGGAGGAAAACGACCCCACGTCTGACTCACAGGGCTCCAAGCTCCAAGCAGATTCCAGCACCTCGGACGAACTTCAGGCAAAAAACAAGAAGCCGTTGAGGAAAACCTTCCACCGCTTCCTGGGATGGAAAAAGTCCAAGAAGGTTTTGATGAAGCCCAAATCCAGCGGAGACAGCCTCTCCAGTTTAAATATCTGCTATTAAAAACCAGCATTTTTATTCTCTTTCTATGTTTTCTGCAATTATTTTAGCTGGAATTACTTATCTTATAAGCAGAACATTTCTCAGGTATTACATGTGGGAGATTTACATTTCAGTTTTGTCCTTTTCTTGGTAGAACTATTCACTTCGTCTAAATCAGGATAGGCGTTTAATCACTCCACTTACAGGAAATGGTAGCAGTAATTTAAATTGATTATTTTTCTGAGGTACTCCTGGCTTTTTAGTCCAGTCTGTGAATTTTTTTTAATAGAATAGAAATCAGGAATTTTAAAGCAAATAATTAAATTCAAGTTTACATTACCTGAGCCAAGCACTTTTATCTGATAAAAGGAAATTGGTCAAAAGGAAAAACATTAAACATACTGGTTGATTGTGGAGTTCCAGTGTCACGTTCCACAGTGAAGCCAGGTAAACATTTACATGAATTTATAGACATGGGCAAACCAAATGGCTATGGGACAAAATAGTCAGCTGTTTGGTCTCAATTAGAAAAGAGATTTTAAAAAATAAACAAGAAATCAGAATATGTTGCAACAGTCAGAGAGTGTAGTTAAGAGAAAGCTCAAAATAAATTGACCTGTTTTATTCAGAGTTTATTCATTAAAGAGAGCGAAACAAAACAAAGACAATTCAAAGATTAAAGATGTGTTGAGAGGCTTATCAGAGACGAGAGAGTAAATAACTGATCAAATGTAAAAGTTTGAGACTTAAGTCTGGCACGAAAAGTATGAAATCTACCCGGAGCCAGGGGTGAGGGAATGATAATGCGTTTGAAGCCTGGTGAAGGTTTGTGGGTGTGCTGCACAGTGAGTGTGACTGCCATAAGCCCGTGACAGCCTGGTGTCAGTCACCGTATGGCAGCTCTTTAACCCGGGGATTTATCGCATCACTCTCGTTCCTGTGATGTGGTCACTCCATCGCCTGAAAGCAAGGCCTCTGACGTGTGGTTGGTGTTTAGTCTGTGCGTTTCTGCATTCAAGGCCAGAGATGCTCACTGGTGAGAGGAGATTGTTGAGATGTCACCCTATTTCTGTCATTTTCCCTCTCTGTGTTTAAATAGATCCTTTCATAATCATCAAATTTCAACTGCGTTCTTAAGTACTTTCATTCTGATATTAATGAGTTTCTGTGGACCAGTGTGATCACCCTGAATACCACAATTTCGCAGTACCACAGGATTCACAAAAAAATTCAAAACAAAAATGTGTAATGTAGCCTAAAGATATTCCTATCGGGAATTCGACTAACTATGCTATTAATCTATAAATCAGTCGATTAATCTGATGAATTCAAATATAAAAAAAAAAACGTTATAAATCCCAAAGAGAATTTGTATGTTGTTATTAATTCCAATTCTTCAAAGAGTCATTGAAGACGGTGATGGGTGTTGGCAGGAAATATCTCCTGCAACAGTCTGTACTGCCCTGCACAGGTAACTCGTGAAGAGAATGGTCAGAGTTGTCCATAAAAAAAATAAAACAATAAAAAATGGGCACATTCTGCAGATTTTTTATCTAGTCACTTAAACCTCTACACAATATTAGAAATATTAGAAAAACTGCAAATAAACAATCCAATTTCTTTTTCTTAATCAGAAAACAAACATTTTATTGGCTAAAATGCAATCGCAGCATTCCTTTAGTGAAGACGTGTTGGGGTTGTTAGAGTTTGGTTTTAGCGTTTGTCTTTTTTGGTGTTCTTTAGTTTTTTTCTATTCTGCCTTTTTGCCTCTTCATTTCTTCCTTCGTGATTCTCCTTTGACATGCTTGTTTCTTGTGTCTAGTCATCATGTTTCTTCAGTCTTGTTATATTTCAGTGTTCAGATTTATTTTCTGTTTCACAGGGGGCGAGCACAATCCCGCTCGCCCCCTGTGCCACTTTATCTCTCCCTCACCTCAGTCTGCCTCCTGCTCCCTGTATTCACACCTGCAACCTGTTAGCTCATCAGTCCAGGTCTTTTGTTTAGTACTCAAGAATTTTCAGAATTTGAATCTGGTTAAGCTGAAACTATGCAGCTTGAGAAGTTGTGGGTGTGTTAGATGCAAAATGCAATTTTTTCTTTCTGCAAAGTGTTGCCTTAATTACTTAATTGAGTAAGATGGCCTTTTTTGGGTCTTTATACTCTATTATAGTTTTTATACTATACTAGACCAATTGACTGATGATGAATCCATGACTAAATTAGTTGACAATTAATTGATTCATCACAATTATTCCTGATTAACACAAGCTTCTTGTTTGACGAGCATTGCAGTTGAGAAAAGCCTGCATCCAAATATTTCTATATCTACCTTAAATGGTCTAAAATGGATTAAAAAAAGTCTGAAAATTCACAAGTTAAAAAGGATTTTAATATGCAAATAGCACAGGACCCCTTTGATGCCTTTTTCTCTTCAGTTTTATATTATAGACACACATGTCCACTTTTTTAAAAAGGTCCCTTCTCTTTGTAGGTTTCGCGGAAACACCAACAGCAGCAGATGTTCTCACACTCGGTATTCACCCAGAGGGGACGGAGATAGGAGAGCAGAGAAAGAGATGCAAAGAGCAGACAAGGTCACAGTTCCTGTGGACTGTCTTTGAAAGCGAAGGCAAGTGTACCCTCCCCTCCTCCTCCCGCCCTTTGATGTTAAAGCAGTCTCTTTAGTACTCCAAAGACGGTATACAATAACCTCAACCCCCTCCAACCCTTCGCCCAGCCCCTCTGCGCACTGTTTGTACACGCACAGGTAACCCGGAGCAACTCCAGCCAGAAATCTGAATAAAGTGTGGCAGCTCTCCAGGACCGCTGCAACACGCTGGGTGTGTTTATTTGTACATCATGCTATGTCTGGCAGGAGAAAAAAATCGGATCTATCATTGAGGTGACAAAAGGTTGAATTGGAAGAACAGCTGCTGTTTTAGAAGCAAAATACTGGACATAAAGTATATAATTAAAACAGAAAAACATTTTAGGAGCTTAAAGAGGCAGTGTTGTAAAAATGAACTTTTTGAGTTTTCCATCATGTTATTCCCTCATCAAAACATACTTGGAGTTTTGTCTTGATTGTTTTATGCATGTTTGAGAAGTTCTTTTATCTCTATGGCAACCATTCCACTGTGCAAAACGCAAGGGTGAACCAAGCGCCGCCTTTAAGACACAGCTCTTCCATGTAGCTGCAGTTTTTAAGCTTCCAAGCTTTCGCCTGACAGAGCACCCCTCCGTCTGCAGCTCCCCTCAGCTCCTTCAGACTAGCCAGCAGCAATTAGCATCTCACCACCTCATGGAACTAACTGCACATCTGCTGAGCTCATTATGCAAGCTACTTCTCAGTGAGACACTGGTAAAAATGTGACGAACATTCACAAAAACTGACAGCAGACATATAGCATGATACCTGAGACTACTACCACCGTAGCTTAGGTGTTAGAGTGATGTCTTGTAGTTTTTTTCTAATTGTAGCCTTATGCTATGTTCTTGTTTCATTCCTGAACGCCCAGCCCCCAAAAACTTTCTGGTTCAGATTTTGTGTGGAAACACATTGAATTGTTGGAGCAACTTTTATTACTTTCTGAATGTAAGTAGCAACATTTTGATATAGCCTGGTATAGTCTGTGATAAAGATGGAGGGATAGCATGAAACCATCTAACCTGCTGCACCTTTATAAGCTGATTTGATGAATGCAGCCTGCTTTGTCTGAGCTGTCAGCTCTAAAGCGTGCCTGTCAACACCTACCTCTGATGGGTCACCGCCCTTGATCTTTCTCAGTATTGGTCTATGATCATGTAAGTTTATTTTTAAAAAATTGCATTTTCCACCTGCAACATAACCTTCACTGTTTTCCTTTAGCCTCACCAGAAATACAAGTATAACAGGAAGAGGAGGCAGCATTGTGGCACATTATCGAGTTCTAGAGCATTGGTCGTATTTACCTAAATCTCACCCTTGACTGATATTGCTGCAAATACCATTACTGCGGCTAATTGCTTTCTGTTGGCAATCACACCCACAATGTAGGTTTAAAAAATGTTTAAATCATCTGAAGAGACTAAATGTAATTTTGCTTCAGTAGAGTTTGGATTCTCAAACACTCACAAGACAAAGATAAACAAATGTAAATAAAATGATCCTAATAATGAGTCAGTACATTACATGCTCACCCTCAAGTTTAAGTTTCAGGTTCAAAACACGTACATTTTATTTGACTTCATCCCTTTAATTTAAAGTCATTTTAATTAGATGACATCAAAAATTGTCTCAAGAGACTTGACCTTTGACCAGAGAAACACTTGTGTTCCCTTGACTGTCTGTTGTGCTAAAATGAGGCTCCTACATCTTTTTGTTTGTTTTGCTTCCTGTAAAACAAATTTAACTGTCATAAAACTAAAGCGCTATTTTTAAAGTAGCAGCTGACAAACAAGGAGCTACATACTAAATAATTGCTTTTTTTCTGTTTTAATTTTTATTAAAAAAAAGTTTTTAAATTTATTTCAGTTTATTTTTCAGGTGGGGTTCAGTGATCATATTGGCAGAACAGCCCACCAATTTTTTTCTAGTTGTAATTTTTTTTTCTGCTTTCACTGTTTTATTTATTTATGTATTCAACAGTGAATGTAATTTATTTCAATAATTTCTTCTACTTTCTTTGTTTTGTACATATTGTGTACAATTGTGAACAGCAGAAAGTTCAACAAACAAATCAAATCAAGTAAACTGGTAATTGTAAAACAAATAAATACTTTTTTTTAACTGACCACAGAACTAAGAGACTGTCAGAATTAGAGATTTGTCAAAAATAAAAAAGCCATTAGAAACTCAAAAAGCAAACCAAGTAATTGTTGGATACGGTGGGAGGACACACCAAGGCATATCTGTAGATGTTAAAATTATTTGCTTTAAAGTTGCAGAATTTACTGAAGTATTTGAGGTGCTAAGTACAAACATCTTTTCATTTTGATATGAAAGAAAGTGCAGGATATGAAGAACTGCTAAATTGTTGGGGTGATTTTTAAGAACTTTACCAATTATATTGTCTGTGCTCAATCAGGTAAGTGTTACAAGCCACCTTAGACAAGTTTGGTGTTCATGCTCTGCTTGGCCCTTTTACTGAAACAGACCTGGCCATTTGTGTTCCCATCAAGATATTCAGGTCCGATTGTGTTCGGACTGCCCCGACTCACTCTCCATCTTTTATTTGCCTGCTGTCCCCTGCTGCAGACTCTGGTTACACTCCTCCTTCAGATGGCGTTCTGCCTGGCTGAGCTGCACTTATGGTCCACGAAGAACTCACTCCAAGTTAAAGGTGCCACTTATCATCATGTTCAATCTTCCTACCTCCTATAAAGTCTCCCATTGTCTCTTTTCTTCTTTAACCCATTCGGTCTTGTTCTGGTGGTTCCTGTCAGCACTCACTTTGTTTTGACACATTGTCTGCACTTAAATCTACTTCAGCAATCTGACACTGACTCTTGCGCTGCGTAATTCACTTTCTTGTCTGATTGTTGCATTATGAGTAACAGTTTTTGCCTACATAAATTTGTATTTAGAATTGGAATTGGCTCGATAAACACGTTACTGATTTCATTTTTTTTACACAAACACTACATGTTTAGCGGTATTGAGGAAAAAATTAAAGCACAAGGCAACTTCTTTGATTTTCACAAAAACAAATAATGAGAAATTAGGTGATAAAGTATTTACTTTGTTTTAATAGTCACCCCTACATTTTTTAAGTCTTCAAACAAGATTTATTGCCCAATTATTTTATTCCAGAGAAGGGAGAGTTTGTGACCAGTGCATATACTGGTATGATTGACAGCGCTAAGACCCTCCTCCTCTTTCTGATTGGTTGTGTCTGAGCAAGCGGTTTATTCCTGTTGGTGACAGTAGAACCACATGGAGGAGGCAGAAGAAGTTGATTTTTCTTATCATATATCATCTATCTCACACTATACTTTAATGTTATAGTGACAGTTTTAACAAATATGTAATAGACATTATTTTTTTTATAAAAAGTTACATACTCCAGCTCTGAATTTGACAAAATGCAACATTTGCCACAGAAACTCTTCAAGTATAAATAAATACTAGAAAAAATATTTTTCTGTAAAGACTGTACTTTATGAGAAATAAATATTATTCTTATAAAAATTCTTCAAAAGAAATTCAGCAAAATAATCTGAAATAGTTAGCATCCTGGATCATCACACAAAAACAAAGCTGGAATTAAAAAGAAATTACAGACAGAATTTAGGTTATAGACGTAAAAAAATAGGTAGCACAGTTGGTAGCACTGTTGCATTGCAGCAAGAAGGTCCTGGTTTGCATGTTCTGCCTGTGCATGAAATTGATGAAACAAAACAGGTAAAAAAATAAATAATTAAATAACATGGCAAACAAAAGATAATTGTCCGAACAAAGAAGTTACATACAGGGATATTTATGTTGGTTGCTCAGAGCATTACAAAACAGGGGGGGTAACCATCATGAAATGTGAGAAACCAGTTACAGAAGCAAAAATTTGTTATGAAATCACAAACCAAAGGTCAGAAATGAGTTGATAAAACTTTCTTCAATTTAAAATGAACTCATGAACATCTTTCACTGGTTGCTATTAGAGAAAAATAAAATGAACCCAGGAACTCTTCTATCTGTGATAAGCTTTATATTTTTATTTTTATGAAAGCAATAGAAAACTGCCAGTCTTCTTTTCCACCTGACAGTTTTAGTTGGACTTTTTTGGCAGGTTTTATGCGATACTCTGCTAACCACCTATCAGTCCATCTCTTATGTCACACGGAAATTCTCTTTTTTTTTCTTGATTTCACCTTGCTGCTATTTTGTCTTGTCTTTCACAGTCTGCTGAGCTTTCGGCAAAGATAGTGTCTCTCAGAGGCTGTCTGCGTGGAAATATGTGTGTCTATGCACCTATGTATCTATGAAAGTCTCTATATCTTAGATGGTGGTGACATGTCCCATGTTTGTTTTTCCTGCTTTCCCTTGTGTGCTATCTTGGAAAAATATGGAGAAAAAAAAGTTCTGGTCATCAGAGTGTGACTCTCACTATCTTTACTTTCCTCATGTCCACCTAAAAACAAAAATATGGATTGAAAAAGTATCTTGTTGCATTGCTTTAATGCTGTGTTCTCCATCCACAGCTTTGGCTTGTTGCACAGAGATTAAACAACAACAATTCACACATTTTCCTGATTTTTAACAAGAATCTTGAAATCATTTGGCTTGTAATTCTGTTAAACTCAATTTAACAGAATTACTGTACATATCATTCACTACTATAGAAGACAGATTTAAACTGATAAAAAAAAATTCTGTACATTTAAAAATGTCAAACTTGGTCTTAATAGTGTTTGGTATGGGTGCCTTACTGATCAGAAAAAAGATCAGATTTTCAGTCTCTAACTGGCCAATCACCAGGGTCTTTCAAGTCTAAACTAGCAATATAACGACACAGCAGAACACTGAATCACACTATATTTATCCCTGTATACGCTCATTATTCATCACAAGAACACATCAACAGAGATTCCCAAATCTCAAAGATGTGACAGAAAATAACATTTCATCTCCTCATCTTGGGACGCAAATCAAACCTTGTTTTCTTTTTTTTTTTTTTTATGTCAACATGTGTGGCAAGAATATGAGACCTTCCAGAAGAAATTACCAAATTACATTAAACTGACCACCATCACTTGTGCTGAAACAGAAACAGTTTACATATGTTGTTGCTTCTTGTTCCAAATCCTCCTTAAGAAACAAAAGTAACTTGTGCCAAACTCGGTACAGCCAAAACGTTTGACTCAAATCATAGTTTAAAAAGACATATATCCCTGATTTAATTTTTTATTTGAGAAAAATTTACAAGAAAAATTTCTAAAAAAATAAATGTTCTTTCTAATCTTTCTGGCATTTAGCAAATAGAAACAATTTTGGAAATTCTAACAAAGCTAAAGCAAGGAAATTCTGGTTGGATTTTACTTCAGACAGAGAGGGAAAAAGTGGGTTTGCGTCTTTTTACTATGTATATTTGCTCTCAGCTGTATATATATGTCCCTGTGTGTTTGCGTGTATGTGTGTACGTCTACCATCAGCTTGTCGTATTAGCATGACCCTGCCTGAGGAGCAGCAGCAGAGGCAGCAACAGCAGTTGAGCGAGTGATAAAGAAATGATGTGTTGTGCAAATCTAAGACCGCCTGCTTATGGTTTTGGGGGGCCTGCAGGAATAACACTTGGGAAAAAAAAAAAAAGACTCAGCTCAGCAGTTTGCCTGTGTTATGTCTCCATATCTATCAGTATGGCTGTTTGTGCTTGTTGCATGCCCTGCATATGTTGACCATACATTTCTGGAGCTGCACATCCTCTGCATCTACAGATTTGTCCCTCAGGTGGGATGGGTTAAGGCACACTCCTGTCGTTATTATTGCCTCTCTGCATGTCCCACCATTCTGACTCTGACCCCCTGCCTCGATGCCCCGCTCCCCTCTCTTTCCTACCTTCCACATTGGGTCTTATCTAAACCGCGGTGCTAGCAGACAGGACAGGCCACTAGCAGATAGTGATTGTTTATCCCACGGTGCGAAATTGCTGATCTGTCTTCTGCTTTTTCCCTGACAGCAAGATGCTCATCTCCCTTCCTCCTTCTCTCTCTCTCTCCCTTCAGATACAGATATTGGCACCTATCAGTACTACGATAAAGGAGAGCCAGGTAAATAGTGTTTATATTGGCTGTCTGTTTGTGTTTCAGATAAGTTGCGTGTGTCTTGTTTTTGGAATGTGTGTGATTTCCCTATATATAAAGAAGAGCTTTTCAGTGCCTGCTGACACACAGATTATTGGTCCGGCATGATTCGGAGTCTTCCAGCCGCTAACCACACATGCACTCGGTACACACAAAGGCTATTAGTATGAAGGATTTACACCCTAAAACCTTATATACACATGCACATACCACACACACAGATTATGGGGTCTCTGCGGTTCTATCTTTTACACTCCCTGTGTTCCTGTTGACCCCGGGGTCCTGCCACGCAGCGATAGGAAAACTAAACTGTTGACTTTCTCCTAGATCACATAGCAAGAAGCCCCATGCAGTCCAGCCTTATTTGGCCCTGAGGCCATGAGGCTTTCCGAATAATCAGAAAGTACTAAGATCATTCGCCTTCAGCACTGCAGTAAAATATGGTGAACATATATCTTTTTTTACTAAGTAAATGATGCATCTAACAAAAAGAGGTCCAATTTGTCCTTTAGTTAATATTATAGACTAAATATATATGTATATATATAGAATGTCTGGTTGGTTCGCCCTTACCATTTTGTCTGTCTGGATCTGGAAGTCCCACAGGATCTTAGCTAAGAGCTAAGATCCTGTGGGACTTCCAGATCCAGACAGGCAAAAAAATTTGTGTGTGTATATATATATATATATAGAGAGAGAGAGAGAGAGATACATATCTTCATATAAAGATGAAGATATTTTAGCACTTGCTGCCATATTTCTATAAATACCCCTTGAAAGGTTATTTTATTTCAATAATTCAATGTTTTAAGAAAAGTTAAAGGGGCAGTATTATGTGTTTTCCAGCCACATGGTACAATTTCATAGCATAATCATGTAGCTATGGTGATTTAAGTTGTTATAAAATGCTACATATATCAAATATGGCTTAAAAGAAATTTTACTTCCTAATTTAACGCCTTGAAATTTGTCTCCTGCCTCTTTAAAAGCTCCGCCTTCATTACTTTGCTTCTCTATTAACCCTTTAACAATGTTTTTACCAACATTTCTCTGAGAAGTAGCTTGTACAATGAGGTCAGCAAATGTGCAGTTACACAAGGTGTTTGCTAATTGATGCTGGCTAGTCTGAAGGGGCTGAGGGATGTGATGGGGAGAGGGCTGCTCTGTGTAAGATCTAATTACTTCACCTTACTTAAAAACATTATGCAAACTCGTTGCATCAAAAAATTTACTTTTTCAAACTTTGGACTGTTACTACATGCAAGTTTACACAATTTGACAAACTTGATAATTTTGAGTTGCATTAACTTGTGCAATTTTAGTGAATAAATAAGTTAGCTTATTAATTCTGAGTATGTTTTAATCAGCAACTAAAATTAGTTTTTTTTAATCTAAACACTAATATAAAGAGAAATTGCTTGAATGAAACACTTCCTGGCTCCTGTTCTTATTTATTCCTCTGCTCAAATAGAAAATATGAACAAACAAACACAATCATATTCAAGGCTGAGTGGGGTGACAATGAGCATGCAAATCTCACATGGTGTAGTTTCTTACCAATGCAAATGCTAAAAAATCCCTAATAAGCGCTCTACTGCCCTGAAAGTGGCTTCATTCTTGATGAACTGGCTGCATAGACGAAGTCTTTGAGTCTACGTTTTTGCCTTAAACATCTCAAAACAAACTTTTATTTGCTAGTTCTTAATGAAGTTATGTTGTGTAATTTAAGTAATGCAGATCTAAAATAACTTGACACATGTTGTTTGGCTGTACATAAAGTACATTGCTAAGACAAATTGACATTATCAGTTGTATGCAAATAAGGTATGTGGCCCAGATTCTTCTTCATGGTTTTCATTCTTAAGTTGAAGTGTTACAGTGATGTAAAGTGTCCAATATTTCCCTCTGAAATGTAGTGAAAGGATAAGTAGAAAGTGACATGAAAAGGGAGAAAAACTCAAGTAAAGCACTTTGTACTTGGGTGCGTTATTGTTACAGTGCAGGGTGGGGGGGAAAGCACAATTATCAAATACTTACTCTTTCCGATTGAACCCAGCTCTAGTAGAGTGAGTTGGTGAGACTTACAAAAAGTGTGTTGATAGAAATTTGATGAAACTGACTTAAGAATACTTACTATTTTCAATCAAATACAATGTTTGGATTTACAGAGAAGCTTGCAAACTGCAAAACTCCTTCGAAGAGCCTTTGTCCTGTCCTGTGTGCCGTCCAGGCGTTTTGCACATCTGAATGGTTGCCAGCTTTGGTTTCTTGATAATTATGGCTTGCTGCTAATAACGATAACAATATCCAAACGTCAGCTTCTTGAACAATTGGAATATGGACTACATAATTTTGAGAACCACTGACAATTTCCACAAAACAGAAATTGTCATCGCTTAACAAGCTGGTCGAGTGAAAGGTGCCATATTCACACTTATTAATGGGAACCTCCAATGGAAAGGTTTCTTTCTTCCCTTGTCACTTTCTTTGGTTCTCCATTAACTCCATTCAACTAAATGTATTAACTTATTTTGTAAAAATGTGACTAGAAGAAAATGTATCTGAGATTTTTGCTTCCATATTTACATAAAGTAATCATACATCAATAATTTATTTTCTTATTTTTTCATTAAAATGATCAAGTTTCAATTAGTTATTTGATGTACTGTTAAAAATAACCATGAATTTAATTAATTTCTGTTTATTTTGTACAATGCTTTCTCCATTTTTCAGAAAATACTTAGTCTTTCAATCAGTTTCTACTCTCCTTACGTGTTTCTTTAGTGTTTTTTCTCGTCCAGTAAGTCCTCCTGCCTTGTCCTCTCTTTTACTATCGTCACAGGCCTCTCTCGTTCCTCTCATCTCAGAAGCTGCCTTCTCTTTTCATTCCAATCTTCAGTGGAGAGACGCCGCTTCTTCCTCCCAAATCCTTTCATTTGGAGGATTACTAAAGTGTAGCTTGATATCAGAGCAGAGGGAGGAGAGAAAGAGGGAGGGAGAAGAGGCAGAGCAGGGTAGCCAAATCCCAATCCAGAAGCATCATAACACTCATGCAGCAGTGTACTGATAGCCCAGGTTAGGAGTTGGCTTCACTTTCAGCACTCTACCAAATTACAGAAAATCGGTGTGAATTTTAACAACAGGTGACTTTAACAAATGAAATATGAAAAAAAGAAAAAGCCATAAACTAAATTTAACTAAGGCATTTTTTTCTACTCACTCTTGAGAACCTTTTATTGTATGTTTTGTAGGTATTTTGTTTTAATTTATTGTAAAGGTGCTAAAAATTCTAGATTTTTATTTTGATGTTTGTTTCCTTCTAGATCAAAGTGCTTAAGACAGCTTTTCAAAGGAGAAATTTCTTCAGTTTCTTTCAATAGGTTGATCAATTCATGCAGATAGGCCCTCCTTTTATCTTCCTTGATGACATTTTCACAAATACATAAATAGCGTTAGGATCAACTCAAAAATATTTCTGCCTAATTAACGACATTTCTGAATTAATTCTAATTGTACAGTAAATAGAAGCACAACTATTTACTCAAAAGCTAATTTGATTAACAAAAGGCACTGCAGAAAAAGAATAACTCGTGTCCCGTTTCTCTTAAGACTAAAAAATGTCTTTGAAAAAAATCAATCCTAAAAAAGGAAATCCTGTCCTATAATTACACAATTGTGCAAGACCTTATTATGACTTATAGGTTTCTTTTGTTTATTTTTGACCATTTTGTTTGTTTCAAGGAAAAATTATTATATTTAGTCTATTATTGACTAATAAGGAACAGATTAGTATTTTTTTTAAAATTTTACTATTTATTTTGAAGTTTTGTCACCCACAAGAGCTTTCACTGAACTATTTTAGACCTCCGAAAAAAATTGGAAATTAATAATATAATATAATATGATATAATATAATATAATGCTATAATAAAGCATTATAGAATTGTGACACTACACAACAGAAATAAATGAAGGTGACATTTTCAGCAGTTTTATTTTATTTTAACATTTTAGCTTCAAACTAAGAATAAACCAGTTAACGGTTTGCAGGTCTAAGGTTGTACTTTGTCAGGTTTAACGTTACTTCCACTTCCATCCACTAGAGGGAGACACAGGCTCATTGGAGCGGCTCCGGGGGGGTCCCCAGCTGCCAGTGCCCACCCCCTCCACCCTGTTCATCCAGCCCCAGAGCAGGTGCCCATGTCTGGGCCTGTCTGGCCCTTCACCCCCTTATCTGATTAATAGTACTAATCCTGGAGGTGTTCCTGCCTGCCAGAGAGGCCGGCCACCGGGCTGGCCACTTTCATGCTCGGGGGCGGCCCGGCCACGAGGCACGGTTACGGGTTGCACTTTGCCAGAGGTGCCCCCCCGCCCCCCCTTCCCCTCCCTCATCCCTTTTGGAACCGAGGGGGGGTATCGGTCGAGCCGCAGCTTAGCTTTCTGTGTTTTTATTTAGCTACATCCAAAAAGAAAACCCAGACCCATTCATTACCTTCTTCTTGAAATGTATGAATCACTTGGCCTCTCTCTTCCTCCCCTCCAGCCAATCCCCTGGAGCATCACTACTACAATGAGAAACTCCAGTTCTGTGAAGGTAAGTTCACATTCACAAAGAAGGAATTCACAAAACAATCTATTTACTCCACATATCCACTACGTCTGTGTGCGTTTGGACTCTAAAATTGTTGACCGTCTTCTGGAAATCGGTCACTGAACTGTCCTCCTCTCCCTCTCTCTGCTTTTCACTCAGTAGTGAAATACAAACAGCCTTATCAGAAGACAAACACTCATCCCCTTGCCCTCGTCTCACCCTCCACCCCCAACACCCATCTTCCACACCCTCATTTGCATGCATCTGTTTACCTCTTCTTCTTAATAGAGCACTCTTCTCCTTAATCACTTCGTTCTGTAAAGATGAAATGAGAGACTGTAAAATAAACAGATAAGAGTGTGATTGCACCACAGTGAGAGCAGTGGTACCTCCTTTCCTCTTGAATTTATATATATATCTATTTATATAGCTATATATAAATATATATGTGTGCAGGCAGAGGCAGATGCACAAATTCAATTAACTATTTTTTTTTTTTTTTTAGCATACATCTTTCTGTTTGTTTAACCTCCAGAGATGGGAGGAAGAGGGCTAGAAAATTAAATGAAAGGGCCTCGGTGTGGCACACACATTGAGAAATGTGCTGCAGACTGTGAGGTTACAGTTGGGAGATAACTCAAAGACGCTACAAGTCCCCAAGAATAAATATATCCACCTCTCCACAAAGATTGCTCCGTGTGTTTGGAAATTACTCTGTGCTTCCGGTTTAATATTTAGTGATGAAAAAAAAAAATCAAATGCAGCTGAGTTTTATAGGTGCTTCTGCGACTTTACTTGGATTTACAAACTTGGAGTGAAATTGTCTTACACTGCCAAAACACAGAATCTTTTGGTCTAGTTACTAGGGCACATTGCTGGGTGCACTTGAAATAAGGCAAAACTAACATAAACGTAACTTTTCAGCGAGAAATGGGAGATTATTTTAATTCAATAATTCCTTAATATTGATGGAAAAATGTTTGTCATGAGTGAAATAATCTACCAGTGGAACCTTTTCATTAACATTAAGTAATTATTGACTTAAAACAAGCTTCTTTGACAAAAATTACCCCGGAAGATTTTGTGTTTTTACGTTCTAGCATGAGTGTCTCTGTTACATCCTCAATATTGTGCAAGGAAGACTATTTGCTTTCTTTTGTAATCGCCCCTAAATGTTTCAGTCACCAAAGCAAATTTTATATCAAATCAAGAATATCTGAATAAATATAAATAGCAGAAATCTTAAGGAAAAAGCTACTGAAATTAATCTGTAAGGACATAACCCAGTACCTGCTTGTCCTGATCTCCCTGTAGAGGGATTTAGTGATATGTTTCTTTGCAGAATGGTTTTAATTCACCTTGGAGGGTTTTTTTTCCCTATAAATGACCTGTTTAACTTTGAGTTAGACTTTAACTAGGCCCCCTCAAAACTGATTTGCTTTTGCAGTCGTTTAGAGGCAGTTTTGCTGGTGGGGCTTGGACTGTTGCATAACGCAGCTTTAGGTCACAAACTGTTACCAGTAGTGAGCAGAATGTGAGGTTTTCCCAATTACAGGAAGTCCTATGGGTTCTGAAGCTAAAAAAAACTGCCCCACACCATGACACTACCGCCACCATGCTACTTCTGGTAGTATTTTGTTCTTCTTCTGAAAAGCTGGTAATTTCAGACTGGTTGGAAGAAAACCTGTGCTTTTCTCTCAGGAGTTTCCATGCATATCAGTCTTAGAGATTATAAAGGCTTTCTTTGGCAGTCATTGGACGGTCTTTGTGTTTTTTTGGTCAACAGTTGTTGGGGCTCTGCTTTTCCATGTTGCCAGACAAGTTTAAGTTTATCTTGATTCTACAGGTTTGTAATAAATAGACCTGGATGTGACAAAAAGCTAGGCTAATTACAAATAATTTATGATTTGGCAAGGGAGAGATTACAAATTCATATAGACTCAAGCTGGTTTCCCCTTTAATAAAAGAAAATACTGTTTTGTACTTACTCAACTTATTTTTAGCTGATATGAAAATGTGAAAAATGTAAGAAGACAAATACTGTTTAAGAACCACTGCATTTTAAAATGTAATTTAACGTATTCAGTAATACCTTGAAGAAGTTTTAGAAATATTTCTGATTATATAATGTGAAAATTTCAAAAATACTCCTGGTTAATGGTTCCATAATTAAGAAAGTTCTTGTTTTATTTTACAAGTACCTGATGATAAAACTGAAAATTAACCTTGCCAGTTTTTATCATTTTGTGTTCAGTCGTTTGGTAAGAGTAAGCTGTTGCTTATCATTATGGTATAAGGAAACTTTAATTAATCATATTTCTTCTTCCATATTCACAGTTTTAAGAAAATTATGGATCCTATAATAAGAAGCTTTGATTCCACACACCATGTTCATTTACACTCCCCACTAAATGTATCGGCACCAATACATTTAGTGCCGTCATCTAGAAAATTTTTATTGCACTAGAGATGCTGAAAGTATAGAAAAGACTTTCATCTGAGTAATTATAATATTTAGAAATAATTGTTTTTAACAAAAGTATCAGTAGCAAAAACACTGGCATCCCTAAAAGTCCTGTGTTTCTTTTTTGTGTTTTTATGTATTAGTTTTGTTAAGTTGATAAGAGATAATGGTAATTTCTAACGAGTAATCCATAGCCCTGTTTTTTCTTAGCCTAAAAACCTTTTTCTGACCTACCTTAAGTAATAAACACGTGGGGTTTGTTTAATCAGAAACATGTCCTTCGGTCAGATAAGACTGAGGTCTAGCTTTATGGCAACAAACCCTCCAGCTGGGTCTGACATGAGAGAAAGCATGAATATGTGGAGAAGTATGGTGAAGGATCTGTGATGCTGTGGGCTATTTTGTCTTTCAAAGCCCCGGAGAACCTTGCTGGAGTGCACGGCTTCGTGAACTCTTTGAAATACCAGAAAATTTCAAATGAAAACACTGCAAGTAAAATGAAAACAAGTCGACAATTATTCCTATCAGCACAGAAATGATTGATATGGAGCAAAATCAGTCTTCTTAGTCTGAGAAGTGTCTTATATGATTATCTTAGCTAATTGCTGCTGGCTAGTCTAAAGGATTTGAATGGGGAGTGACTTGAATGGTAATCAATTTGTATCTGTTCAGAAAACAAAGAAATCAGCTAAACTTCACCTTTAAACCATTTTGATGAATAAAACCAACTAAACTTGAACTATTCCTGCACTCATTGCACCTTTTTGGTTTCATTCAGACTGTAAAAACTGAGCCAGTTTATTTGGGTCTACTTTAGTTCCTTCAACATCTGCCGTCTCTGCCTTCAACTTTTCATTCCACGTCACCTTTATTCCACCTTTTTATTCTTAAACTGCAACCAAGTTATTAAATTCTTTCCCCACATTCCCTGATATTCCCAGGGGTGTTGTTTTAAAGAGATCCCTCTCTCCTCTGCGATTAAACGACCGGTCACTCGATCTCTCCACTCTCCCCTCTGTAGCTCGAGGCTATTTGTGGACCCCCAAGAACCGCCGGCCAGAGAAGCTGCGCGACTCGCTGAAGGAGTTGGAGGTAACCTCACTCCACCTCTCCAATACCCTACCACCACCACCCCTCTCTCCAGCTTCTTCTTCCTCCCCTCAGGGGATTTTTGCCGTTTTCCCTTTCCGAAACGGCTGATTGATTAACAAATAGGGGCATTCTCTGTCTGACTTCGCTCTTCCCCCGTCATCCTCGTTTGTTCTCGTCTCTCCCTCTCTCCTTCTCCTCTCTCATCGCCTCTCTTTCGGCCGACCTCTGTCATCGGACGGGATATTTGAGGGGATCAGGGGGCCACGGACTCCCCCCTCCCCTTTCTTTCCCTTCCTCTCTCTTTCTCTTCCACCTTCCTCATTCACCTCCTTCTCCTGTCTTCCCCTCTGTACTTGTGGCAGTACAGACCTAGCTTTGTTTGCTGAAACCTGTCTGTGGCTGTTATCCACACACACACACGCACTCAACCAACCCAACCACCTCCCTCCTCTTACCCGTAACCATTGTCTGAAACCAGAAACACCCAGCACACCTCCTCTCTCTCCGACCTTCTCTCCTCCCATCCAATCACCCCAGCTGGGCCTGGAATGTTGCAGGAATGACTGACCTTACACTCACACACACCTGCACACCCACATGCAAGCAAGCAGTGGTTACCTGCATCCGTTTCCCCCCTGATACCCCTGGACCCGCCCCTTGGTTAGCAGGAACTGCTGGAGTGAGCACTTGTCTGGACAGGTATCTACTACCACAAACAGACTGTTTTCCTTTTGCTTTCAGTGTCTCTTTCAAACATTTTCCGGGGTTTTCTATAATTATTGCATTGTTGAAGGAAAGTTCGGTGCCCTCTTTGCCTTACACTTTCCCTATTATGTCCATTCAGGAGCTGCTGCAGAGCAACACCTGCGTTCACACCAGATGGAGAAGCAAGTACTGCTGCCAGGTACACACCCTTTCCAGCTCAGCACCCTCTGGGTTCAAGCAGACAAGCACACGCACCCTCGCACACAGGCACACAGGCACCTGTTAGTGCGCATCAGTAAAAGAGCTAAACTGGACAGTAAAATCAGCTTAGAGATCATTGTAAGCACATTATATGAAACTAATATTACAATATTCCTTTAACTCGAGAACCTTAAAAGCAAATCTGATCTTCTCTTTTTTTTATTTTAATGTCATGATAAATTTTCGAACCACCCTGCAGAAAACGCACATCTTACCTAGTTCATTACCTTTAGCTAGGATATTCATTATGACAAGCCAAACATTTAAAAGCATGCTCACCAAAATAAACTGGGATAAACGTTAACCTGTCAGCTCCATTGTGATGTATGCAGATGATGTTGAGCAATGGAGTGCTGGTGACTGTCACCCTAAAAGGATCTCAACTCGATCAAGTGTGTGTAGACCGCACGTTAGTGGGTCGACTTCCTGCCAGCACTGTGACTGATGGTGAGTTGTACCGTGATTAAGAGTTTTTCATTTATCACTATATTAAGGTTATTACCATCCCAAGTCCACAGTGAACCAAATAAAACCAAATTAAGTCTTAGATAGTGATAAATACAGTTTTAGCTATTAACTGTATTTCAGTCTGTCCTTACAGCTCAGTTTCTCCTACAGAAACCCACTTAAGACTAATCGATAAGATGATGGTGGACATAAACAGTTGAGACACTATTACACTGAAAGCAAAAGCTTCACTTTCAGCTGCTGAGAAAATGTTGCAGAGTAAAGTAGAAAAATATTGCGGTTGTGAATCTGCTAATCTCACCTGTTCTTGTTGAAAAGTCTTTACATTTGATACAAAAAAATAAAAAATGTGTCCAATGTTTGGCTCTGCACATTTTTGACAGATTCTCCAACAACAATGAAACAAGGTTGTTGATGTTACCCTTCAATGGACTGAAGAGTGACGATCATGCCTGGCTCTTCCTATACCACTGTACTGAATCTCAACTTAAATTAGGATTAAAATGATTCACCCAAAAATTTTGAACATACACTGCAAACACACAAAGTCTTACCTAGCATTTTTGGTCTATTTTCTAGCGCAAATATTTTCATAAACTTGAATTAAGACAAAATTAACTTACAAGTTACTTTTCAGCAAGTTATAGGAACTTGTTTTAAGTCAATAATTGCTTAATATTGATTAAAAAAAAGTATTTGTTCAATTGGCAAATTATTTCATGTATAACAATAAATTTTTCCAATGTCATAAGTGAAGTAATCTGCCAGTGGGACTCTTTCATCAATATGAAAGAAATATTGACCTAATATAAGCTCCTATATCTTGCTGCAAAGTTACTTATTAGTTAGTTTTATTTCAAGTCAACTAAGATATTTGCATTAGAAATTAGAGCAAAGATACTTCATAAGATTTTGTGTTTGTGCAGTGCACAATCAATTTAATAATTTCCCGAGTTTTTAGTTTCTAGCAATGTATTTCTCATTCAGTTTTTATGCTCCACTTATCTGGAAAAATTTTAGAAATATTCTACAATTGGTACATTAAATTTGTAGGTGATGCACAGTACTTTTTATTTTCACTAATAAAATTGAATTATTATATGTTCTCATTTGTCACAATATTTATATTTATTTAAAGACTTTCTTGGCTATATTTTTTATTTCTTTTTTTTAGCTGTTTTAATTCAAACGTTTGGCGTTTAAAAATCATCATCATCCGCTCAGTTTCTCTCAACCCGTCAGTGTTGACTGTTTGCCTACACCTGCGCTCCCTCTGCATGCACTTTCACGTCCACCACACACGCAGTCGCTCTCTCACACAGGCGGCGACTCGCACCATAACAGGTGCCACAGGTGAGCCAAGCGACTCTTGCTAGCTAATTGCGGGCAAATCCTTTTGTGCTGCGTGTGTCCAGGGGCCTTCCCTTAAGAGCATCCATCAGTGTTTTTCCCTCCATCGCGCATTACTCCAGGGAAAGCCGTGCACCCCCCACCTCACCTTCCCCTTGCTCTGGGCTCCCTCGCTCTGCAGACCTGGCATGAGAGAATAAGAGGCTGTGGACAACGGCCCAAATCTGCTAATTATTTCTTTCTTTCTGTATCAATTATTTGTTCATAAGACCGCCCTCCCCACTTCCGCCTGGGGTCTCGAGACACTTGATTAAGCCCCCACAGTGCACACATAGCACACCCGTGTAATTACATACACACACATCCTTTTTCCCTTTTGCATAGGCCAACAAACACTTACTGTATGTCCACTTGCATTTACACACCTAAAAGAAAAAGACTTGCACACACTCAGGTACACACTCGCCTCCCACTGTGCTTCATTCAAAGCCTCAGAGGGCACTAATTATTAGAGTAATGGTTGTGAGAGGGTGGGTTCCGGGGATTTTGTGTACATATGCGTGTGTGTGTGTGTGTGTGTTGTGTGGGATTGGATGCGGGGGGGGGGGGGGGGGGGGGCTTGCAGTCAGATTGGGGTTCTCACATCTGCCACTTGTTAAATTAGACTGAGACAATTAAAAGCAGAGAGCCAGGCCAGATCGCAACGTCCAACACATTTATCATTACTGGAACCATTTACAATATCAAGTGAGTTGTGATCCCTGTATATGTGTGTATGTGTGTGTTTGAGTGGTTAAGCCTAATAGAGTATAACTTTCATTATTGAAATTAGAATTTACATTTTCAACTAAAAAACATAAGAGAAAATATCGGTAGAGAGACAGCCACACAGATCAGGTGAGGTTTGACCTACTTGTTGACAAAGTTCAGGATTATAGTTGAGAGAGGAGGCTTATTAATGAAAATATAGATTAATAAGCCTATAGATGAAATATATAGATGGGAATCTAAAATTTTTCAATCAAGATGCACTGATCCCACATCAATATCTGTATTGGTCAAGATACAGAAAAAGATTTATGTCAGTTCAGTTATTCATAATGCAGACTTGAGTAAAATGAAGCCTGGGCCTAAATTCAAACTGGAAGACTCTTTAGCCTCACCTGCATCATCCAATCGCCGCATCCCGCTAATCACGACGACCTATCATCACTGGACCAAGCCATGTCATGGCCAACACCTCCACTGTCCTGGCTCTCCAGGCATACTTCATTCACCAACCTCCACCACTAGTATCGGGTCCTGGGGGATGACATTCCTATCAGCATCGGGAATGCTCATCCGAGTTTATCGCAATCACAGCTCGATGTCCTTAGCCGGGGCCCGAGCGCCAAAGACTTAATTTATGCATGTCAATAAACTTTTCTAATCGCTTTCTTTCTCTGTCTGAGTCTCTCCAGATTGAATTCCTATTAGTGCTCATCTGTTCACATTTACAATATAAAATGATTGATGCTGTTTGGCATGGAAGTTTTTAAATAATTTAATCAAATATAAAGAAATTTCAAAACCTACCCAGACCTTAAAATTATTTTTTTAAAGGGGAAATATTATGTGTTTTCCAGGCACATAATGCCATTTAATAGCACAATTAAGTAACTATGTTCCTTCAGTTTTTATAAAAATGCTACTTATATCAAATATGACATAAAAGGAGTTTGACTTCATAATTTAATGCCATGAAAATGAGTCTCTGTCTCTTTAAGAAACTCCCAATCTTTCTGAGGCTTCGTCTTCTGAAAGTAATCCCAACAGCGCTCCTCTAATAACCCCAAACCAATGTTTTTCACCTGCCTTGTCCTGAGAAGTAGCTGGTATGATGAGCTCCACAGATGAGCAGCTCCACTTGATGTTTGCTAATTGCTGCTGCTGCTAGTCTGAAGGAGTGGGGGAGCTTTGAGGGAGGGCTGCTTTGGGAGGTGGAAGCTCGGAAGCTGGGAAACTGCAGCTCCGGTGAAGCTAAGTCCAACCAGGCGTTTTGCACAGCTGAATGGTTGTCATGGAAATTTAAGGATTTCTTAAACATGCATGAAAGAATCAAGAGCAACAATGAAGATATGTTTTTGATTAGGGAATAATAACATAACATGATGTAAAGCTCTTAAAAGTTGATTTCACATAGTACTGCCCCTTTAATGTTTTGACTAAAAAAACCTTGTAATTTTCTGTTATATCTGACGCTGATATAATTTAGAAATGTTGCATGTATTAATTTACTTTCAATTGACTAAGCGTCACTAAGTGTAGCTGAATCTGAGATTAAGCTGCACCATGGTTTGCAATGGCAATTTATTTTCAACTTTGCAAAGCGGAAAGAGGTTGTGAGTTTTTGGATAAAGAAGAAAATCCCTTTTTCTCCAATTTGCACAGATTCAGCCAAACTACAGAAAAGGTTGGTTGTTGTTTTTTTATAGTTTGAAAGAAAAAAGCCAGTCTCTTTTCTTTTCTTTTTGGAAGGCTGTTCGCTGTTCTGGTTTAAACTTTGCAACCTGGAGGCCAGTTTAACCCTGCTGGAACAACGAGCTCCGATTGCATCACACTGAGCGGCAGATTACGAATATTCTACCGCATCAAAGTATTACAGGTTTCCATTGGCCGACGGCTGGGCCAAGTTGAGCATATGCTCCACGATTAAGCATCCTTAAGTGATTTTTCATAGCAGGTTTCATTTCCCCATGTTTAAATGTGCTTTGCTTAAGCCCATTGGCCTCTTATGTCAACATGCTGCAGAGGAGATGGCATTAAATGGATTTAGGGGCTCTGTGTGCGTGTGCGGTTTTGTCTGTGTGTGTGCGACAAGATTGCTCTTTGCATCTGACTGGATGCATTTTGTGCATGTGTTGGTGTGAGTGAATGTGCATGCATAAAATATTGTTGCAGACCTCCAAGTGTAAATGCTTATGTAGCTTTCTGCCCATGTGACCACATACACACCACAACGAGCTCCTTCAGTGTGTGTGTGTGAGTCTGGGAGCTGTTCATGGATGGGTCACGCAATTCTGGCCCCTAATGCCAAATCAGCCACCTGGTCCCCAGATTGGACCGCGGCCTGGTTTGGAAAAGAATGGGATTATGCTTAATCCCGTTTATAGACACCCACAGAGATCAATACTAAACTGCATTTAACTTGATTCGTCTGTAATCTATCACAAAGACTCTTACTATTGCATTAAATGTTGTTTCTAAAAGCTAAGGCTCGTTAATGGCCGTATGTTTTTTTTTTTTGTAACGGTTTAGTTTTGAGCCAGTTCTTTACTGTATAATCTAACTGACAGACTCTGTTGACCTGATTTAAGATGCTAGTTTTTTTGGTTTTTTATGTTTTTTTTTCAAGCTGTGTTTGCTCTACTCTCTTGAAAATTAGCATATTAATTCAAAAATTTTCACACAACAGGATGATTCGAAGCGCAATCCCACCAATATCCTCCTGTTTATAAATACACACGGCACGGTTAATTGCCGGTTAGATGTTTAAATCTCGGGGTGCTGCCTCACCCGTTCAACTCAAAGCAGGATTTCTGAGAGACATGTGTAGCAACCCCCTTCTCACCCCTCCCCTCTTTTCCATTTAATTGGTTTCATAAACAGATTAATTTGAAGGAGAGGGTGGGGTATGCAGGGGGGGCTTAATTGGTAATCAGCGTTTCCATGCAGCTCCAGAAAGAGTTGAACAGGATCAAGTGTGTTCTTCTACTAATGAAAAGTGTGTGTTTTGCAAAGAGCACAGAAAAAGTTGGAGAGGAAAGAGGAAAAAACGTGTGTAAAGGAGGCAGAAAAAGTAAATGTTGGATACCGAACACCAACTAAACAGTGTACACGTATACAGAAGAATATTTATTGAAAAAGCAAATAAATAAATAAGACAGGGATCAAATTTGACGAAAACAAAAAAGAACTTTTTTGGCCTATATTCTCAATACTTTGAGCCAGAACTAACACCACACTTAACCTCAAGTTCTCAGTGGTGGTGGCCAGATCACGCTGTGGGTATTCTTCTATTCAGCAAGGACAGGGAAGCTAGTCAGAGTCGATAAATACAACTAAATTCAAGGCAGTCCTTGAAGAACGCCTGTTGGCGGCTGAAAAAGACTTTCGACTTGGACAGAGACTCACTTTAAAAATGGAAAGTGACTCTTAGATATTCAGTGACGACTACGATGTAATGATTTAGATCAAAGCACATTTAGGAGTTAAAATGCACCAAGTCAAGTTCAAGTTTATTTGTCTGACACTTTTCAGCAACTCGGCAGTTCAAAGTGCTTTAAGCCACAAAGACATAATACAGTGACCAGTTATGAAACAAGCAATAAACATTACATTTTGTTAAACGGCGTCATCAAATTCACTTAGCAATATTGATCAATGTTCCAGTTGTTATTAATAAAAAGCCATTATAAACATGTGGGATTTCAGCCTTCATTTAAAGGATCTCCGTGTTTTGGAGTTTTTGCAGTTTTCTGGAAGTTTGTTGCAAATTTATGGTGCAGAGAAGTTGAATGCTGCTTCTCCATGTTTGGTTCTGGTTCTGGGGATGCAGAGCAGAACCAGCTACTTCGCAAATATTTCCATCTTGAGAAGGAAACATCAAAACTGTGATCCAAAAGACTTTAGTGAAAAATGTTTCTACAAAGTATATTTGAAACAGGGTGCAAGGTTGCCATAGCAGAAACTACATTGTAATATTTTTGCAATAATACCTAAACAAAGCAAAAAGGACGAGCAATAAATAGAACGTTTTTAAATCTGGATGGATTATATCTGTTATTATCTCTTTTTAACCAATAAATATGGAAGTATTTATTAATTCTCAGTAGCTGACTGTGCAAGGCAATCATATGGTTTCTTTAAGTGTCCTCTCTGTTGTGTAAAAGCTGCTGTTGTCCTTTCAGTTTAGGGTAGTGATGTTGAGTGTGGTGATGTCATTTCCAGCGGTGCTGAGCGATCGGCTGGTTCTGCTGTCTTTCCTGGAGCAGAGCCAGGTCGCCGGCGTCTACCTGAACAAGAAGAGCCAGGATTCCCTGGAGACTGGCAGGCGAACAGACAAACTCTCATCTTCTGAAATTAAGGTACAGTAGGCCGCATTGATGTGTGCGTGCGTGTGAGTGTGTATGTTTTCAGTTTGAATTTAGCGACCTCAAAATGAGGAGGAGAAATCCAATGAGACAAAAAGGAAAGGCGTCATGTTTTTGTTCTCTATCCCTGGCCAGTTCTTCCAACACCCTAAAGTTTTCTTTTTGATCACTATCATGTGAAATCGGGTCATGTTTCTCACAAAATTAAACACCTAAAAAATTCTCCAAACACAAACCTACAAATTGTTCTAAAAAGTTATACACATCTAGTCTCATCAGTGACAGTAGTTTAAATTTGGGTGCTGTGGGGTTAAACAAAAGACTGAATACATGTTGTTTCATTTGTATAAAGTAGAATTAGATGAACTAACAATCCGTCTAACTAGTTTAACTTTAGAGCTGGAGTTAGACACTCTTAGAATTAAAATTTTCCTATTTTGTCTACAAGATTTCTGTGATTAATCTCAAACTTTCTGAATATCAAGTCAACAATTTTTGGAGATTGAAACTAAGAAATGTCCAAATTCCTTTCTGGAAAATTTCTGAGATTAATTTCAACATTTTTTGTTTTGGCAGAAATTTACTTCCTTCTTTCTTTCTTTTTTTTAAATGTACAATGGGCCTAAAACGCTATCTTATTAGTCGCACTTTTAACTTCTAAAGAAAAAGTTAAATTGTTTCCTTACCCATTTAAAATCAAACATCTAAGAAAGGGAGCAAACTTAGTATGGAGTCACTCCTGCAAAAATGTCATTTTTAGACAGAACAACCAGTTGAGACCAGGTGCAGTTTAATATTGAGCTTGATGAATATTTATATTTTGATATACCTTCAACTCTCTCATGTATGTATTTCATTCTGGTCTGGATTGACTTTAATAGATGCTGGTAATAGATCTGATCAAGAGCAGCCCTCTTCTTCCCTAAAAACAGTCTCCTCCCTCTGTAGCTCCTAACAGCTAAACCAGGCATTATCACATTACTGCCAGGCCCTTTTCGACAAGGTGTGTGTGTGTGTGGGAGGCGTGCGCGCGTTTCCACGGCTGCGTGTGTGTGTCAATGCAATCGTTCCCGCCAAGCGTCTGTTTCCAGAAGCAGAGTCCTGATAAGGCGCCACCTTCATCACTACCACCACTCCATTCTGCAAACCCCTGCGCACCAGTGTCAACGCACATGCACACACATGCACGTAACCTGCAACATACACACATGTGAGCATGGAGGAAACACTCTTCATCCCACTCTCCATCGACAAACACACACGCACACACACCCACGCACAAACACATTGCCCTGGTCCAGTGGGCTAAGCTGGAAAAGGGAGAGTAGGGGGGGCTAAACTAATCCGGCCCACAGAAAGTGGTTTTTGATTATTGCTGACCAGCAAACGGCAGCAGAAAAAAAATAAAAATTGAAGAGCAAGGAGATGGGTGGGGATGGAGGGGGGCTTGCGGGTGGTACAGATAGAGTGTGTTATTAACCCAGTGATTTTTAGATATTTCCCCCCGCCCTCTTCGTTTTCATTTCTAATCTGTCAATGATCTCCTGTTCAGCTGTTCGGGGAAAAACTCTTTGTTCCCTTTATCATCACATGTACTTCCATCATTCACAGGCATATTTTGTGTCCAAAGAAAATTCTGCCCCCCTCAGGGAGCAAGGAGGGCAGACATGGACCGCTGCATCTCAAATCTTCTCGACTCATACAAGGCAGCGCTCCGTTTCCTGCAGGTTCTTAGGCTTTTAACCCCTTTTCTGTGCTGATACATTCATTTGTAAAGAGATATTTCCATATTCCTCCTCCTCCTGACAACATGCCTCTTTGGTGCCAGTTTAATGTGAATAGTAACATTTGTTTTTATCAATATCAATTTATTATATATTCCAAAAAATAACTTTATCCAAGATCCCTTTTCTCCATGTTTGCTTTTGTATTTTCTGTTTTTTTTCCTCAGCCATATTTAAACCCCAGTCTTCCTTTTCTTTTTAAAAAAATACCTTTTCCTCATTCCTCATTACCACTCTTCATTACTCCAAGAAAAACATAGTACCACCATGTGCTGCAAAAACACCAAATTTTACCAATGTCTAGCTTCCAGTGCGAATATCTTAGTACACTTGAAATAAGGCAAAGCTAACTAACTTCTGAGCAAGATATGGGAGCTTGTTTTGAGACAAGAATGTATTGACTTTGATTGAAAAACATAGTTCTACTAGCAGATTATTTAACTTGGGGAAAAATGTCTTTTAGCCTGCGGAGCTAGAACTTTTTCCTCAATATTAAGAAGCTTTTTGCTTAAAACAAGGTCTTGTATCTTGCTGAAAAGTTTCTTATGTATTATTTTTGTCTTATTTCAAGTGTACTGACATTTGAACTAGAAACTAGAAAAAATACTTAGTAAGATGTTGTGTTTTTGCAGTGTGCAGATTACCAGCAGGTTGCTCTGACAACGCCACTCTTCAGTGTGGACGGTCTAATGGAGAGAAGACTCTAATTAGCAGTTTTCAGCATCAGTGAGGTGTTTTCGATTCAGTTCTGGGAGAAAAAATAAAGAAGTCATAAATAACTATTTTATATAGTTATAAAATAGAGAAGAAACACTTTTCCAAATGAAATTATTTTGAAACTTTTTAAACTAGTATTTATAGTAGGTAATATATGCATCATGTGTGTTAGAGCAGAGTAACTAAAGTGTTTGCTTACTTGATTTGCAAATGGTTCAGAAGACAGTAAATAACATTAGAACAACAAAGCTTGTGCATAAACAAGAGGTCCCACTGCAACATGAACTGCAAGTCTGTGTCTGGTGTATTTTTGGATAAAACATGTCTGTTCTTCATTCAGTGAAGTTCCTTGCAGTCGGTAGAGTATCCAGAGATTTTCCTCGAATAGCAACAGTTCATAGCAGTATAACTCAAGTAAAAGAAAAAAAGAAAACTTTATGGTCTGCTTTTTCTTAAATTTTAACTCCCAATCAGAATTGGCTAAAATTGGTTTTGACAAGTGAAAATGTTACAAACACCAGTCATCTTCAGCTGTTCTCTTTTTCCTACCTGTTTGCCACTTCCTGACTACTCTTCTGCAGGATGGTAGAGGTCGGGTTCATGTGTATGTTTTTGCATGTAAGTCATTTGTTCTGCTTTGTTCTGAATGTGATGATAAGGTCAAAGTGTGATTTCACCAGCTTTAAAATCACCCGATGGTCTGTGTGTGTACGTCTTTGAAAGCGTTTTTTTAAACACCTTTGTACTTCTGCTTGCAGTTACACATACATTTATGCACATACATGCACAAACTTACATAAGTGTTTTTTGTGAGTGTGTGTGCTCCTCCAGACTTCCCTCCCCACCCTCCTTTAAGCGCCACGAGAGCTCATTACTGTGCGTCTCTTTGTTGTGGCCCGTAGAGCGTGGCGGACCTTCCTAAAAAATATGCACATCGCTAAAACAACAAGCCCACGCAGACATTAATAATGGAAGATAAAACACAACCTCAGACATCAACAAAAACAGAACGGGGGAAGGACAAGAGAGGCATCGAGGTCTGCAGCGGTGGAGGTGTCCGCGCCCCGAGGTGTCCAAACAGCAGACCAGGAACGTAAATCCAAATGGATTATTAACTAACGACTTCCCCTGAAGATTTGTTTTGATTCTGCGGGCTTCTTGACCCTTCTGAATGCACGTGTGTATGTTTCTGTGCTCCTGCTTCTAGGTGATGTGTGTGGAGGTGGGCGGGCCGGGTGGAGGACTTCGCAGGCGTGTAACTCTCAGCCGTCTCCAGGACGTGGCGCTCTGCTGGTGGACGCTGGACGAGCTCAGCGAGGGGATGTGGCCGTGGACTCCCACAGACACACACAAAAACAATCTGTTCCTGATAAGCTGCTCACCTACTGAAGGACTCAAGGTGCACACACACACACACACTGTGTGTATCTTTAATTTCAAGCATAGAACATGACAAAGCTTGTAGGTAGGACTGAAACGATTAATTGGATTAATCACAATGAGTCAACTATTGAAATAATTGTCAACTATTTAAGTAATCGATTAGATGTTAATTGCAGTGCACTCATTTAGAAAAAGACCATTTGCTGAAGGAACAACATGGTCAAGACTGTAATTAAGACAAAACTGTCTGTAAAATATAAACAATTTGCATTTAAGATAAAAAAAACTATATATTGTATGGTTTCCCAAAATTTTTCAAAGTAGTAGAAGTTGCTTAAGTTTATAAAAAAAGACAACTTGTATATCACATAAACACATAAAAAACCATTTGCAAAAAAATAAAAAGGCCCAAAGAGCCACTGCAGGTTGCAGACACCTAGAGTGGATTAATCAGACGTTCATACACATTCAGCATTGTGGAGTCAATCTCTGATGTGGAACAAAAAAGCAAACTGGTCCACTTGCAAACCGGAGTTTCAAAGGATTTGGTTGGTGTGACGCAGTGAATGTGAAAGCGAATCGCACCAGCTGAAAATGTAACAAATATTGCAACATCGGTCACGCATTGAACCGAGCGTACCGGTCCGTGAGATGTAAAAACACCCTAAAAGTTATAAACACTGGGGTAAAAAGTTTAAAAATTACGATGTCAAGGTATGTAATTGTTACAGCATTCGTCTGTTTGCTTGACTTCTGTGTGCAGTTATTGATGACTTCATGAAGACAAGGTTGATCATTTGCTTAAGTTAAGCTTTTTGTGTCCTCGCCGTTGATTATCGGCTCACAGCATATTGAGCATAAGTTATTGTGAACTCAAGTGTTTCTTGCAAATGTTAAAAACACCAGACACAGTTAAAGCTGTAAGACAACAAGCCTTAAAAAAGCTTAAAACTGCAAAGTGGATGATAAAAGTTCTTGAGTCAGAAGGTTTTTGATGCTTTTATTGCATCAATAACTACAGTTGCATACATTTCCTCCAGACTCCGCACTGCAAAGAAAATAAAAGCTGCAGATTTGAGCCGAGACTCGTGTCGTCACGGATTGGGGATTGGAAACGGTGTTGTTAGTCACCTTAAGGGTGGTACCTCCGTTGCACCTCTGTGCATCACCATGTGAAATTAAAAAAAGAACACCTACACGTTCCCCGGTTTTCTCACACATGCACATTGGCTGGCCTGTGGCAAAGCCGTACCCATGATGAAGGATCAGTTCGGGATTGGCCTTGCGCCGAAATCACATGAAAGATCCCACGTTAACTCCGCCGCTCCCCGGTTAAGCAGATGCAAAATATTCACCAGAGCAGCAAGAGGAAAAGAGGGGTGGAGGGGATCTGCAATAGCAACTGGATGCAGCACAAATAAATTCATGTAGGAGAGACCGAGGGAAGGTGTAGGAGGGAAAGGGGGCGCATGAATATGAAATAATCAGAGCAGATGTTGTTTGCTGCTTGTTGTTTTTTTTGGGGGGGGGGAAGGCGCTCTACATTTATCACACTCCTTCACCAAGTTTTAAGTCCTCTCCGTCTTCCTCCGACATCCCCCCACCGTCCTCCTCTTTTCCTTTCCCTTCCATCCTCGTTGCCTCAAGAACATTAAAGTCTGCGGCATTGCGTTCTAATGAAAGCGTTTGTTGTCATTTTTCAGATGCGCGGTGTGAAATTAAGCGAGCAGTTTATGTAAGAGCCGTGGCAGGAATCAAACGGCGGGAGACGCCAGCTACTTCAATCACTTCAAGCTCATATATATGTTCCTTTTGTTCAGTTCACTATCTGCAAGCGCTAAGCCAATTTTCTAGCCGGTCTCTCGGCATTTAAAAAAGTCAGATTTTTTTTCTTTCTTTTTTTTTCTCTTTCGTATGTGGTCTTAATTCGTAACCCCCCCACCCCACCCCCTCCACCTCCACTCCACCACACAAACTCCCCATGCTGATAAGTGGAGCCAAAAGCACAGAGTAAGGAGAGGTGAAAAGGAAAACATACAGTTTAATGCATGCGGTTAGCATTTTTAATCATTCTCTTTTCACCCTTCCCTCCATCCTATTTGCCAAACAAATAAGCTTGCACAAAACATTTCCAAGAATTTTATGATTTAAGGGCTTTCTAAACAAAACAAACACATATTTTATATCTTCAGTTTTTTTGTTGTTGTCTTCCCTGTTTGTGATGTTTTCTGCACATAATTACTCCTGCCATAACATGAGCAGAACACAGAACTTTTTTTGTTATTTTAATTTGGTTTATTTCAGAATTCAATGAGCAGACAGACAACAAAATCTGTTGATGTTGCTGTTCTCCTGTTTGTTGTTGGCATATTTTGAAAAACTGCAATGGAAACACTTATTTTCTTGTCACACCATTTTGTACACAGCAGCAACGCACTCATTTGTAGGAACTTGGCCTCCTTGAACAATGTGCAGCTTGATTCACCAGGGCTCTACCAGCATGACAGCTCATAGAAAGTTGTGTCATTCCAACCTGTTGAATACACAACTCCTCTGTAAAATTACTGACTGCAATCTCCACATAACGCTGGCGTTGTTGCTCCAATGCCTGCATAAAACACCATCATCTCCTCTGATGGCTGACAGATCTGAACATATCTTACATTTGTGATGTTTTTATGACTTATTGCATAAAAAAAATCTTATTCATGTGTTTTCAGTTGCATTTCTTATTTAATGGAAATGATTTAACTTCAAAATTGTGCCTTTTTTGACATTAGGCTAATATAAAAAAAAATTTTTAACTCATTTGTAATGGAAACAGAGAAATCTATTGACAGATGAGGTCAAAGTGTGATTTCACATTTCCCTCCGAGTTTCCGGGCTGTGAGTATTCTGCGAACATTGATGTGAGTTTTGTACTTCTCCTGGAAAAGAAGGGGAAAAAAAGCAAAACAAAACATAGAGATGCAGCAAAACTTTTTGTACAGACAAAGGTTGCACACAGCAGGTTAAAGGTTTTTTTGGATAGATTTTAGCCTGTTTTGATTTCTCTTTTAGATCCACAAAGAATCAATAAAGTGTTTAATCCTGCTGTGAACTGTGAACACAGACGACTTTATGTTGGGCTTTGATATTGAAAATGAACTAAATTATTGAGGTGAAATTTTGACCTAACTTAATGTCCCATATTGGTGATTCTACAAAATCACAGCAAATGGCCCTCATGCTGCACTCTGGACACCACTGGTCCAGATAATGCAGATCATTGCCATAACTATGAAATTTACAAATCCAACACTTAGCATGGCGTAGCACTGAGGCTTAGAAGGATAAAACAAGACAACTTTTTCTGTTCAGCCATTCTGAACAAAATAGTTCTGAAAAGCTGGCGAACTTGAACATGTCAACGAAAATATAGTTTCCTTTTGAATATCTTCTTTTTATTCTGACTTCATTTTGCTGAAAATAGTAAACTTTGCTGCAAGGGCATCCACACTAAAGAGTGTTGTTGTTATTACGACCTGATAGTTTTAGTATGAAAATGTCAAGGTATTTTTTCTTAAACCCTGAATTGTTAAAATTTTCAGTACATCGCTTAACATGCAGAGGAGATACAATCTGAATAAAAAAACTACTTTTTTGTTGTTTTGAAGATGCTGCTCCAGTCCTTAGAGTTCAGTTCACGTTTTAGCGTTAAACTACCTACAAAACCCACAGTTTTACTTGTTTTCAATCCTGTTTATAATGTATTTTGAAACTAAAATGATTAACTTTAAAATAGAAAAAAAAAACAGTATGTAGAAAGGGTAGATCAGCAAGTCCCTTGGTAAGTAAATTTAGTCAAGTCTGAAATCAAAGATGCAGAATAATGAGTCAGAATATTATTTTGGATCTCCTAATGCTCATAGGTAGCAGCTGCTAGAGAGAAGGCGTGGGGAATATTGTTTTTTTCTGTACTCCTGCTGTTCCAATGCATTTTCTCACATCGATACCTCATCTCCAACCCTCTTTCCACATGCCCAAAACTTCCCCGTCCCACCCAGTGCCCCCCACCTCTCTCCACTCTCAGCGAACCCTCATCCCTCTGGTCTCCTCCAAGTCCCTCCGTCTCTCTCCGCGCGTCTCTCCCCGTCTTTCTCTGCTCCGTGAGCTGGAAAATTGGCTTCAAAAGGCCACTGCTGTGAACAAGGGCCAGCCACACAGTTGGGCCCGTCCGCTTTATCTTTCACGCCACGGAGGGGGAGAAGGAGGGAGGAAGAATAGAGAAGAATAGTTTTGACCAGTCACTGAAACCAATAACCAGGAGAAAGCTACTTACTAGAGGTCTCTCTCTGCCTCTCTGTCTCCTTCTCCTCTCGTCTCCGCTCTCTTTGCATCTCTTCTCACCGTGCCTCACTCCGTTTCTTCCTTTCTCTCGCGCTTTGCCTCACAATTCTTTTTTATTTCCTCTTTCTTATCGTCTTTTGTGTACATTTCCCTCCGTTTTCAACATTTTTTGTCCTTTTCTGACCTTAATCCTCCTTTTTCTACATTATACGCTCAGAATTATTTGATATGTTTCACATTCTCATTTTCAGCTAGAAGTTCAGGAGAGTTCACTGGCTGACAGAGCTTTAGCTGTATGTATGCTTGTAATCTACTATGTAAATTGTGAAGAGAATTTATGAAGAAGCTGATTTATTTTTTTTATTACCGTAGTGCAACGAGTGCTTTGCTGAAGTCTTCTAACTCTTTGCAGTTTTTTTATTTTGTGAAATAACGCCACAAACATCTAATTTTATTCAGATTTGGTTTGGTAGCAGAGAATTGTAAAAAGAAAACTATTTTTACAAAAAGCATTTTTTTGAAAAGGGTAGCTTTTGAAACATTTACTCTGCTACTCCTAAATAAAAGCCAGTGCTATCATATGGAAAGCCACGAAATGTGGAAATCATTGCGTACTCGTCGCTTTTACAAATTTAGAGCACACTTAGAAAATCCAGAGAATATTTTTGCCTGTTCTGGGTATTTAGCAACCCAGAACAGGCAACCCAGAAAAACTACATTAGCAACTACTTTTTGGACTCCTGTTCTTCTGACCAAGAAAAGGAATTAGACCAGATGATACTTACTTATACTTATTTACCAACCCTGAATAGGAGTATCTGCTTTGGATCAACATTATTAGCTTTTTCTGTTTTTGCTCTTTCCTTTGGTTTGTTATTTTGTTTGTATTTCCTTTTAAATTCCTTTAAACTTTGTATTGCCTTGTTGCTGAAAATGGGCTATATAAATAAAATTACCTTTACTTTCACCTTTATGTCACTTTATGTCTGTGGATTATTAATCCTACGGACACGACTGATTATAGACTAAACATTTACAGTGAGTAAGCTCATGTATCTTCTTAAAGCTTAAGAAGCTGTGAAATTTTTTCTTTTTTCATTGAAAAAGAAATACAAAGGCTGGGATAATTTACAAACTACAAGTAACAGTACTCCAGTAGTAGTGTGGTTACATGCAGTAGTTACTTGTAGTAGTTAGGTGTACTAAGAGTGACCTAGTCCTCTCCAAAGGTAATCGGGACCGCTCCAGTCTGAAATTGGGGATATTTAACTTGTTTTGTTGTCTTGACTGAGAAAAAACGAGAACACAGCCTGTTGAATGTGACAGGTATCCAATCAGAAAGTGAGGTGAAACATGGAGGGGAATCCCACATACACGAGGCAAAACGATTGTCATGGCTCACCAGAAAGTCTGGTGGATGTCAAAGACACCTTTTGCTATTTTTCTTTTAATTAACTATAGTCCACAAACTTCTTTCCAGTGAGCCGTATTCGTTTAATCTGAACTCCCGTTTGGTCTCGAGACGTTTTGCGAGATTTTCTGTCTGCCGTCTGAAGGTTGGTGAGTGAAATGGTGTGGTGTGTTACTCCTGCTGCGTGACTTGACACCACAAACTATTTTACCAACATTTTATATCAACATGTATGTGATCCCTCGAGTTTTGAAAATCGGAGGACAATTTTAACATCTTGCTGTGAGAACCAAGCATTAGTGGGACTGGAATTGGTCCCACTAATGTCAAAGCTGACTGTGACAGCTTTCTGTTAGACTGAGTCAATGGGTCCTTTCCTGTAGTGTGCTTGCACGCTTGTTTATTCAATGCATATGTCGCTTTGTCCCCTCAGCAATGTAGCTCTCACAGGGATAGACCACCTTTTACCGGAATCGAGCCCCTCTTACCTGATGCCTCAAATAAACACACACATTGACACACAGCATTCACCCCCTGCGGAGCAGCAGGAGCTTGCTCTATGGGGATTATAGAGAAAGGAGGAAAAAAAGCTTTCGGGAGGACAGTCATCTGCTTCTTTCCTGCTGTAGACCATGGGCAGGCAGAGGAAAAAAAAGCTTTCCTCCCTCTAAGTCTCCTTTTGGCAATGCCTGCCAAAAAACTGGGCTGAGCAGCTTTGCAAAAGGAAAGGAAGGCAGGCATGCAGCCGATCCCTCTTTCTGTCTACACGGCAAAAAGAAATGGGCTCATTTAGCCAAAGCTCCCACGGTCAATGCAAGGCTCTGATAGAGGCTTTGGTAAGGTGAAATCCCTTATAAAAGGCTCTGTTAGTGACTGTTGGACTGCTGTTTATCGCAGGCTATTGCCTCCTCCTGCGGTTTCTGGTTCAAGGTGGGTGTTTCATCAAAAACCGTGACATGGACTGCCTTCTGTGCTGTCAGTTTCCTTAGCAGGGTCTTTGTGTCTGCAACCTGGTTGTAGTCCAGAGACAAATAATCGTCATTCTGGATTTTCATCTTTGGCCAAAGACTCTGAGGTTTCCTTGTATATCACACGAAGCAGGTTTTATTTCGCTGTCATTTTCTAATGCTGATCTCCTGGCTCCTCACACAGGTAAACAGTGGTGGTTGTTTATCACTTTGTGCCAAGCCGTGCCATGCCCAGGGAGAAGATGTTGTTGACCTTGAGTTAAAATAGAGCTCTTATCATTAGCTGTCTTGATTGACAGCAGGGTGTTTATGAGCAGTGTGTTAGACCTTGTTTTTGCTTCATCTCTTGGGGTTTAGAGCAGCTTCCAAGAGGTGACTTGATTCTAGCTCTGTCATGCTCTCTCTTTCTTTTGGTCTTCCTTTTTTGTTCGAAAACTGTAAATTTAGTAATAAAATTACTCCATATAAAAGATACTGCAGTATAGTAACCAGTAGAAAAACGATTGTCTTGTCATGCTGACATGCACTTCAAAAGTTGAGTTTGGGGAATAATTAGTTGCAAACGGAAAATAACTACGGCTCACATTTACTGTTGACAGATATTTATCTATACTGTATGAAAGGCATAATCTTTTCTTCACACAGTCTACTCACACCTAGTTCACTTTTTTGGTCCTCATCAGAGTTTGATTACTCGTTCACACCTCCCCAAGTGAACTGGACTTTCTAGCAAATTTACTGGGATATGAGTAAAGCGGACTGAAGCTTTGTGTGACCCTTAAATCCCACATAATCTGACTGTGTGACACCAGTTTTGTCTAAGAACTTTCTGATAACCAAACTGTTGCTCGATTAAAGTATCTTTAAGAATAACTATCTTTGGCCAGGTTCAGAACGGTAATGCTGTCTCTCTACATCTTTTATAAACACTCAAAAGTAATCCTGGCTGGTTTCACCTCTAATCATTTTGCCACAACATGTGTGGCCAGGTCTTTTGGGGGGTAAAAAAAACGTTTTTACAGCAATGATGTCCATAGAAGCAAAATATGGAGAGCTCAGAGTTGATTGATGAAATTATCTGAATCAAATTCTGTTTCTTGTTTTTTAAACCACAGGTCCTTTGCTCTATCCGGACAACAGGCAACCCCCTGGACTGCTGCTTCAGCCAGCTTCAGCACTACCAGATGCTGACAGTGGAGTTACCAGCTGGACCTCAAAGACTGTCCGCTGTTACCTGTGTGTATGAATGCGCACGAGGGCGCCTGCACCGCACATCCATCATTTCCATCCCACTGCCATCGCCTCCTCTCTCCTGCTCTCGTCACCCATGTGAGACCACAGTCCTCCTAGGCTTGAGGGACTCCTCCTTAGTGCTCTACGACCAGAGACGGGCGGTGTCGATCTTGGCCTCCTGCCCTGTACCGCCCTTGTACATGGTCTGGCACCCTGCGGGGGCTGTTGTCATTATGGTGGGGGGGCAGGAGGAAGTGATGTGCTTTGATGTGGGCTTGGCACCTTTAAACATGGCGCTGGTAGCAGAAGAAGCCGCTCCCGCAGCCACATTGAGACTAACTCAGCACCTGAACTGCTCTGGAGGCCTGGCTGGACTGCAGTGGGGAGCTGGTTTTGATGATGGACCGGAGGGGACAGATACCCTGACTTTGGTCTTTAATGGAGGACCATTAGCTGCCTTGAAATTCAGACTAGGTAAGTAAAAAAAAGATCTTAAGGGTGTGTTCACAGCTGCCTTGTTTAGTCCACTTTAATCCAACTCTAATTCATTTGCCTAGAAAGTCAGTTTTTTGGGGGAGGTGTAAATGTGAAAAGAAATCCTAATTCAGACCAATAAAAACCAACTCTAGTCCACACAAAACTCTAAAAACTAGGTCTCGATTTGGTTGAATGAACTCTGGACCTGCTGCAATACAGGGGAGAATGCCAAATATTATCAGGAAGCAGGAAGAACATTTTGGATAAATACAATCAAAACAAACTCTTGAGTCCGGCTCAAACACGAGAAAGGACTTGGGGTCTCTTCCAAAAGAGAAATCCTACAACCACTAAAAGCTGTATCCTCTCAGCTTTTGTGTACAATTTGTGAAGAAGGAAGTTGCATTCAAATCTTCCTCAGACGTTTTTGTATCATTTCCTTCAGTGGTTCTTGGTGCAGCGCCACCACAGGTTAGGGGGAGGTGAACAGGTTTTTGGATCATTTGACAGTGTGAAACAATCCAATCAACCAGATCCTGGCGTCTTGAAACTTTGCAACTAAAACATCAGCTGCTGCATGTTTACAGCAGGGTTAATATCAGATCACTGACTGTCACCTCCGTTTGAACCAGGCGTACTCTTCCTGGTCTGTTCTGGATCTGAACCCACCTCCTCACTGCAGAAAGAAGTTAATTTGCCTGGAAGGTTAGCAGGAGTCACGCTCTCAGAGGTCATTCAATAATCGCCCTGGGGCACAAGCTCCCACGCCCCCCAGGTGCATTCTGGGATGCATTTTTCCGATAAATCGTTTACAGTGGCTGCACAGTCCCTCCGGGACCCGAGATAAAGTTTGCCAATCAAAGTTTTTTTGCGCCACAGCCACCTATCCTTTTGACACACTCGCTGTGGTTCCCATACACACACTTTAGGCATCTTTAATTTTAACTTTAGAAAGAAGATGTCACTGTGGCACGGAGCAATGCTGAAGTTTGAAGGCAGGAGCGTTGAAGTGGGGGAGGAAGGTAGAGAGCGTGTGTGCGTGTATCTGTGTGTGCACGAGGAAATGGGGAAGGGGGTTCTTCCAACAATAGCTTACCCTCCTCTGATCGTCTGCCAAGGTTTCTGATGAAGGAAGTCACTGCACGTCTTTTCTTTATGATAATTCCACCAACACACGCACGCACGTGTGTGTATTCTTCTATTTCTGTGCTTCTTTGCACACACACACACACACGCTCTCCAACCCGTTTGTTCGTTGCTTGTGCTCCCTTTCTGTATTGACTTGTTTCATGCAGCCCGCTACATGACAGAAGGAGCGAGTCGGAAAGGCGGCGTGGAAGAAAGACTTGGCCATGCTCCAAGTTCTCCCTTTTTTTTTTCCCACTCTGGAGGCAGGCCTCCCTAGCACCACCCCCACACCCACCCCCCAGCCTCCACCACGTTATCTCATCTGGGCACACGTTGGCCGCTACTGGGCCTGCACCGATACACGGTGTAGGGAAGCCGACCACAAAATGTGCTGCACCAAAGGGAAAATAGTCGTTTCTCCCTTAAACCCCCCAGCACTGGAACAAAGTGAAACATTTCAGATGGGTAAAGGACATAATGATGTCAGAGGGTGTAAAAAAATGAGTAAGATCCCAAAACTACATGAGAAAAATATGTAATTTTTCCAAAAATCAGCTCTAATCTAAAAAATAAGTGTCACACATACAAAAATTTGAATCAGGCATCATACAGGCAGCATATAAGCTTTAATTCGACGGCTGTAAATAGTACCGGTAGTCGTTTTTGTTTTTGATATCCATTCACACTTTCATTGTATAATTCACATTGATGGATTAATTTCTCAAAATGCTGACAACTGATTTCATTTTGGCTGAAATGGCTCTCCGTAGGTGTTAGATTCCAACAGAACGAGAAAATATCTGAGAGCAGACATACTTTTGATGGAGAGCCAAGTATATTTGAAAGCAAGCGAGGTTTTTCATTGGAGAGTTTTGTGTGAGATCAGTAACTGCGTTTCCATTACAAATACACACAAAATTTGTCAATACTCCGTTTATGTCAAAAACCACAAGTTCGCAACTGCCATGTTTCAATTGAAACATTGTGTCTCCTTTGCAGTTTTGTGAAATATATTAATTTTGATGCAGCCAAAAAAACCTATCAAATACTTCTTACTAAAAAACTGGAATTTTTTAGCAACTAGCATGTTTCCATGAAGCAAATTTGTTTTTATAATTGCAATTTATACAATTTTATGGTCAATGGAAGCACTTGTAACACATCTGAGTGAAAATGCTGAATCCTGCATTGGGAGATAATTTCTCCTACACAGGTTTTAAAAATCTGTTTGTGTTACATTTTCCTACAGATATTCAACACAAAATTTATGTTGTGTTTTTTTTTGTAAAGTGGACACACATGCCCACTTTGTGGATTAATACTGTTTCTTTATATTAACCTCTAAACTAAAATAACAGTGGAGTCGTTTTATAAGTTCCTTTGTTTGGCCTCCCTTTGTCCCCATAAGTCAAACATGTTGCAAAGATGTAATTAACTTACGAACAGGAGACTAAAATGTCAAAGACAGTTTTATACGGGAAAATCTGTAACTCAGCACTATAGCTATGTTCAAAAAGCTCTTCTTTTCGCTACATTTTTTTTGTCTATGTCAGGAGTGTTGTTAGCCACCTGCTGCTTTGACACTGGTATAACCCTGCTTATATTCACAAGCCAAGATCAGAAGTAGACAGCTTTTCTCCTCATGGAAGCACAGAAATATCAACTTAAGAGGAGCAAAGGTTGGGTTAAAACTAATAAAGAGACCACGAATGTTTTGAATGTTTCTCACTTTGTCTTTTCACAAAATAGTTCCCGTTTTTCTTTCAACCTATTTTTGCCAACAAATAACTTTTTCAAACCGACCACTTTAACCATCATAGATGAATGGTTGAGTAGAGCGCCGCTTTGACACATATCTGCTAATTTGGCTATATGACCCACTCGCTTGGATGCTAACAGATGTAACAATGGTAGGGGAACTTTGACCCCTTCAATTTAAGGATTCCTGATTCAAGGTGACATGCGCATCTCATGGTAAAATTGGAAGTCTCTTGCAACTTTTCGAGATCTAAATATTGGCTCTTGATTTTTTTTTGTTCTGGACATGCTGTTTTTTAGGTCAGTTTCAGATTATTTTGCAATAACAGATCATCAGTCTTGGATGCTGTATTTATTCTAGTGGCTTCCCCTTCAGTGAAGCTGTAGCTAGTAGAACCTTAGAGTAGTTTTAAGATTTTTCTTCCTCATTGTAAACTTTAAACTTCAATAAAATTTGCTCCATAATTGTTTGAAATGAACCAATTAAGATATTTTTGTCCTGTTTGCATAATTTGACTGTTTCTTGAGTTGAACATTTTGCTGACAATGTGACTGCAGTCTCCTTTTTGATGCTCACTAATAGTTTTTTTTCTCTTAGCTGGCCAATTGAATTAGTGTAGACAGGTGTGAGAGGAAGCTAACGAGACCTCAATGCCACAAAGATCTATTGTTTCTGCTCAAGGTTTAGTTAGAGCTGCAGTCGACACCCAGGGCCAGCCCTTCTGCACACTGTCACACACAAACAGCACCCTCAAACACAAACAAGCCGATGTATTAGCCACATTAGCCATCTCTTTAGGGGATTTGGAGGATTGCTAATTGCCAGCTTGTCATTTTAATTGCCCTTACCACCACCCACCAGCCCCCATCTGACTCATACACACATGAATACACAAAACTTCTTCAACAAGACATCTTGCAGCCTGCTGCACCAACAGTAAACATGTGTAGCCAACGCTATGCTCACTAATCACAACCTTCTTTTTAGTAAATATTTTATTGTTACATCAGAACACGTTGTCAAATGACTAATAAGCAATACTGTGCAATAAACTTTTCTCAGTATTTGTACCTTCTAAGGAGTCAAACATCCAGGTGATCCTTTAAAGTTGTGTTAATCAACAGTTCTTCAAGCTTTCTGCTTGGTCTCTTTAGCAATTTTCAGAGGAAAGTTTTTTAAAGCTGCTTAACACTGACCTGTGAATCATTCAAGGCATAAATTGGCACCTAGGTCACAGTTTGTTATAATTTCGTTTGACTCATCTTTTGACCATATCAGTTTTGAGCAGTGCTTAGCAGACAAAATGGTGTTTCAGCTCAAAAAATTTGAATCCTGTAGATCATCAGCTGTGGGTGATGCAGCGTAAAGCTACGACTAGGCCTTTTGAGGAAAAAGGATGTGTGTGTATTGTTCGTGCTGACACTAACTTAACAGTGATAGCATAAACCCAGTTTTTCTATTCACAAACTTATTTAAACAGGAACTTTTCTTGATGTAAAAGCATCACGCCATCCTCAATCCAGTTTTGAAGAATTCTACCAAAATGGGCGGAGCCAAGAGACAGGTGGCCAAGTGTGAGGATGTGCGGATGGGGTTGAGATGTGCTGACTTTCCCTCCATCCAGGACTTACTCAGATCTAGCCTAGGGTAAAAAAAAAGGCAGATAACATTTCTGCAGACCCCACACATCCTGGACACAAACTGTTTAACTATATAATGTCACAATAATGTCTTTTTACTTTCGTTATAATAAAAAAAAAATGGCTGAAAATACTTATACACATATTGTCCCTCTAACGTTCTTTCATTTCCCTAAAGTTTAATATTCTCAAACTCTTTGTTCACGCACACAGCCTTGACCAATAAAACTGATTCTGAATGTGAACTCTGAACTTACGTGGCAGGAGCTCTAACTGGAGGCCAGCTGGGCCATGTGGAGTTGTTGCAGCAGCGGCTCCGTTGCGGTCAGGTCAGAGAGGCGCTGGGCATCCTGGAGGCCATGGACTGGAGCAGCATGGGGGACGAGAGCTACCAAGCCCTGAGCTCTGTGACCAACCACCTGCTGAGACTGCCGCTCAACGCAGACAGGGAAGGTGAGGCTGTCGGTCGCACCACGAGCTTTAGGCCGCCATGACTATCAGAAAATTTGGTTTCAATTAGTTAAACTAACTTACAAGTAACTTTTCAGCAAGATACAGAAGCTTATTTTAAGTCAATAATTTCTAAGTGTTGATTTAAAAAAAAACACTAGTTCCAATGGCAGATTATTTAACTTATATCTAAGACATTTCCCCATGTTACAAGTGAAATAATCTGCCAGTGAAACTTGTAGTTTTCACCAGTATTAAGGAATTATTGACTTAAAACGAGCTCCTTTGTCTAACTTGTAAGTTACTTTCATCTTAGTTAAAGTGTATCTCAACGTTTGTGCAGCCCAGCTGGAAGCAGCCCTGCGGGTGTTTTACGCCCCGGCTGCCCCTCTGTCCGATACAGTGGTACTGGAGTACAGGGAGCCGGTCACCAAGTACGCCCGCCGCCTTTTTCACCACCTCCTCAGGTAACGCAGCCTTCATGCTGCTGCTGCTTTTGCTCTTAATTTAATGCACTGGGGGAGAAATTGGCTTTGTGCAATCCAGTTCAGCTTCTGTTAGGCCTGCCACAGGAAGCAATAAATTAACTAGTCGCATGATAGAGAAAAGTGAGTTCAATAATTTCTCTTCACAGGTGTTAGAGAGATGCTCCACTTTGATATTGCAGGAAAAACACTGCAAATATTTGAAACCCAGTACGATTTAGTTAGGTTGCACTACCTGTCACTTTTGCATGCTTAATATTTCTAAAATGCAATTTTGGTTACAAAAGCTTAATTATCCATTTTTAATTATTGTTACTTTGTTTTTTATTTTATGTATTTAAAACATTTTTCAGTTCCAGTGTTAAATATTGTTTAGAAATTAAAGCATTTTGTATCTTGAGAGAGTGTACTTTTCTTAATATGCCATTATCATTATTGTATTAGTTGAAAATGGTCTCAAAGTAACATTGTTTACCGCAATAGTTTCTGTGGCAATTTGTTATCCTACAAAATGTGTTGTGACAGGCCTAGCTTCGACAGAGCACTTCTTGAAATAAAACAAAAGCTGTACTTCCAGGTAGGCTGCAGTTCAGTGTTGTGCAGTGTGAAAACCCATATATAGAGTATTTTTAAAGCACTCCCGGAGCATGTTGTTGAGTTTATCAGTGTGCAGGGGAGAATAGCAAGTGTTCAAAAATGACAACGAGTGAAAGAAACAAATTTAACACTCCCTATTTTCCTCTCGCTTGTCTTATTTCAACATTTCTAAAAAAAGGACGTCGCTTTTGAATGTCATCAGTCACACATGCGCTGATGCCGCTTTGAGTCATTCACTAGGCAGAGCAGCGCTCACTCAGACCTGTTTAACTGTTGTTTCATTTTCCCTTCTGCCATGAGAGCCTTTTGAAACGCCCGTTTGACTGAAATAGACCCTGTTGTTCCCACACACTGCCGCTCACTGCTCTCCATCCAGCAATTACCTCCGTTTTCCTCCCCTGTTCCAGAGCTGGAGTGTTGTTTGGCATCCCTCCTCCTCTCTTATCACCTGCCTGCATTCTTTTTCTCTCCATCAGCATCAAATAAAGAAAGCCTCCACTCTCTGCTTGTTTATTTGTTTTATGTTGGATGTGTTCAGGGAAAGTTAGGCTGTTTTGCGTCTTTCTTTCTCTCTCCCTTTCTCTATCTCTTTTTCTCTCTCTCTCTCTTGGCTTTTCTCTGGATAATAACAAAAGTGCTCGCTATTCACTGTTCTCTTATTGGCAGAGATTTGTGTGCATATCTGTGGATTTAGGTAAAGCTTGGACAAAAATGTACGTCAGGCTGATTCATCTATAAATTTCCTCCAGTTGTTTTTGTAAAACAGATATTAGTCGGTTTTAGTTTTCCAGCACTTATCGTCTCTGCTTTCTTTGCAGGCATCAGCGTTTTGAGAAGGCTTTCCTCCTCGCTGTTGACTTGGAAGCTCGAGATTTGTTCATGGTGAGCTAAAAGACATTTTTGATTTCAGATAGTGGTTTGACAGCAAAACAGAACTAAAATCTGTATAACAAATGTTTAAAAAGTGTTGACTGAAATTCCCATTTGAAAATTGTAAATATTTTTGATTTTGAATCACATACACAGATTTGAGCTCACATTTCTTAATGTTTTGTGAATACTTGTGTTTTGGATAAAATGATTCTGTGTCTTTCCTCTGTCTCTTCCATCTGCTCACATGCACACTTCTGCTTCTTGCATACGTAACCATAACATTTAAGACTAGTGACCGTCTTCTGTGTTACACATAAAAACCAGTTAAGGCAGGCCAGCACTCCTCAAAGCATGCAGAATCAGAAGACAGAAACAGAACTTGTGCGGCAATCTTTGTTTTACTTGGTGTCGCCCTTGAGATGTGCTAAGCAGGCCCGGTGCTGGACGGTGAATGCCACTCTGTATCTGTATGAATTGTAACATTTGATCATTTTCAGCACTAAAACATGTTTTACACTGAACCAGGTCTAAAAGTAATGACCCTGAAGGCCTGTGGTCGAGTCCTAGAACTTGTATATAGGTTGACATTTTTTGCAGAAGATTTACCCAAGTGGCCAGAATTTTTACAGAAAATTATCTGGGTGGCCAAACTTTTTGCATAGATCTACCGAGGTTGCCAGAACATTTGTAGAAAATGTTCATTTTCATCACCCAGAGGCTGTCAGACCATCTAGTCTAATGAAACTGAAATAAAAGCTTTTGGCCTGAACTCCAAGCATCTTGACTAAAGACAAACTACTCTTCACTTGGCTAATTTTGTCCATATTGTGTAGCATTGTGGTGGTTGCATTATACTCTAGTAATGTTTTACATTTGCAGGAGGAGTTAAGATGACAGCAGGAAAATACAGAATGCACTAAAACTCAGAGTAAGACTAACTAGTCTCCCAACACAACATTGACCCAAAGCGCACAGTTAGCATAACAATAGAGTGGCTAAGGAGCGCTCTGTGAATATTCTTAACAGCAGCTGGAGCACATGCTCCAAATCCAATTGAGAATTATGTAAACACATAAAAGTGACTGTTCAAGTTAAACACTAGTTTGAACACTAGATTGAACACTAAGTGTTCAAGTTGGGTTAACGTAAGAAGATCTGCATTGAAAAATGGTTGAAAATCTCCCAAAATAAATCTACAAAATAACTATTCATAAGATTTTTTTGTTTGGTTTTTATATTTTATTTTTAATAAATTAGTAAATAATTTTTTTTAAAAGCCCGATTCACTGAAAAAGTTACTGTAATACATTTTCAACCTGTCACAATATGTGGAAACTGGCCATGCTGTTGTTCTAGCATCACAGGTAACCGTTCATTCTTCTTTTATTAGCTATGTAGTAGAATAACATTAGATTTTTCTAAAACCTAAAATTGGTATCTCATGCAAACAATGGTGCATGTTTACTTTGATTGGCAAAAAGTAAGCCACAGCAGGTTCTGAAATAAATTGTTAAAATCCCATCTTGTTGCAACATTTATAGAAGAAATAGAGGTTTAGAAAATGTGGATATTTATGTTCCAAAACTTAAAACCTTAGAGTTAAAACTACCTTTTAAATTAATTACCATATTGCGTTATTGACATTAAACAGATTAAGCCTAACTGATTAATATTTGGCCTCCAGAGGATTAGATGTCGGCTCAGTCACCAGCGCCTTTTCGAAAAGCTTCCTGCAGGCCCCTTAGTGCCATACACCCTATTTTAGTTGTTCATTCACTGTTAAACCCTTCTTACTTGCATTTGCACATGACTTGTAACCCACAAAAGTGTGTGTATGTGTGTGTTGCAAGTCAGAGAGCAGGTGTGATCTCAGTGTGGGCCCCTGTCTTTTCACAATCTCCCTGGCCTCCGCTCGGCCTTTTGCCTCTCTTCTCATCTACCTCAAACTTCTTCTTTCTTCCACGTGTTTCTGTAGGTGTCTTTTTCTCTTTTTTTTACCCCTTTTTTAACGTCCCCCCCCCTCTTACTTTTTTTGCTCCATGCTTCAGCAGCACAAACACAAAAACACTCACTCATGCTCCTCTCTGTCCCTCAATCACACTGATAGCGGCGCTTCCAATTCCCTCCCCACTAATAGGCAGGGCTGCGGGGAAGCCGAATTGAAAAGGTGGAGTCAAGCCGGTGAACCTTGAAAGAGTGAAGGAAAGAGGGGGCAGAGAGGAAAGAGGAGGGGATGGTTTGATAGAAGGTCAACAATAAATTTAAGATTGTTTTTTTTTTAAACAAGTTGGAGTGAAACTTCTCCTCTGTTATTTATCACAGGTGCAAAGAGTTGAGTCCACTAATTTCTGCCTGTTCCTCTTAATGTGGACAGAGTGCATCAAACAGATGTAGGTGGCCTCATCCGGCTGCTTCGTTTATTTTTTTAACAAAACATAGTATTTAAAAAAATTCAAATCTTTATGCTTCTAACACAAATCCTTTCAGTTTCTTGACCAGAAAATGAGCATTTCAATTTTAAATTGAACAGACAAATAAAATGTGGGTGTGTAGGACCTAATGAATTACTGCCAACTAATCCCCAAAGATCAGGCATAAACATAGAAACATCCCACCATGACAGGGCAAAAGCTGCGTTTTTCTTCAGCGTGGAGGTTTCAAGCAGCCATGTTGGACAGTTTTGCTTCCCTGTTTGGTCCAACATTTACAATCATAATAATAACAATAATAATTAATAATAAAGTATGTTATTTTTCTTAGATAAATACAGTTTGTATTAGATTTATTCTTAAGAATTCAAATACAGCTACTTTAGTAAGAATTTACAAAATTGACCTGCTGCTACATGTCCACTCTATTTTTTGTTTGGGAGTTTTAAAAAAAAATATTCGTTTTTATGTTAATTAAAAAACATCGTCTATGTTTTTTATATTTTATCATTTCTCACTCTGTTGTCGATGACCAGATCATTTTGGAATCCAAAATTTGCAAAGACGTTAGATTAAATTGCTCCCACCATTTAGCAATAAATGTATTGTGTGAGGATCTAATGTCCATTTAAATAACACACTTAAGCTTAAAACATGTTAAGATTAATTTGTATGACTTGCTTGACTTTGAAATGTTAGTTTTTTTGTCCACAAATTCACACAAAACATTCCCATGTAGTATGCTGATGTTCCTGGTTGAACAGCTGTATTTGTTTGTTTATGTGTGAGAACTTGAAAAGAATATGTTAAAAAAAAGTATGTACAATGATATTTAATGGAGTATTGCAATACCTTACGGACAAAGGTTGTCCAAAGCACAACAAGCATTAACAACTTTGTAGAAAACTCTTTCCCTCATGACCAAACTTCCTTCTTCATGTCTATGGCCTCTAACTGACTATATCCTTTCAAAAGTAGTGGGAGCTTCTCCAATGTTTCTGTGATCATGTTTTAGCCGCAACACCAATATAGCATAGTCATGTTAGCCATGTTACGTAGTCAATGTAACATGCCAACTCAGGAGCTACCTTCTTTCATATGTTCATACAATCCACTGTGTTAAGCATACGGTTCTAAACGTCATATGTGGAGTCATAATTAGATCTTGAATTTACTTCACAGATAAAGTTCTATGCTAAAAGAAGGAAGTTAGCACTTCTTACACTTCAGGCTAGCCAGAAAAATTTGTTTGATATAGCAAAATGTCTCCTTCCCCGTACTAACAGTCAACAGAGAAATGCTTTTTTGTCAAACTATGAACTTCTGAGAAGTCCTCATCCTGCACACATTTTATACATTTCAGAAATTGAGTAAAAGTAATGTGTACCTTCTGTTTTTGACTCTTTCACCTTCTTTTTAAACATCTTGAGCAGACTTAGGAAGCCTGCGTGAACCCCTTTGTGAATGGCCACAATGGGAATCTGCTCATATCTGGTTCACTGATTTCAACCGATACCGGCCGATGATCGTCATCCCAGATCTGTAACAAAGCTAATGCTCATTCACAGCAAACTGTTTCAAGCACCTTTTCTTTTAGCCTCAGCGCCCAAGAGAGCAGCAGCTCATTGTCTGCAAAGAGTGAAAGAGAGTCGAGAAAGAAGAAGGACAAGGGGCCACATTGACATTTCACCCCTCGCCCTGTCCTTCGGTCTAATTAGGTTGTGTTGTTGCTTTAACCTGCTGCTTGGCTGATTGGGCCGAGGCGGAGGGGGTTAATGAGGGCAACTCACCGAACTCTTTGTAACTTACTAACTTGCCCGCAGAACTCAATAACGCGCCGTCGACTTGATAGAAAGGACTCGCAGATAACATGGAAGCCATCACCTCCTCCAGAAAAGCTCAGCATGACCCTTCCTCCCCACCATGACACGACCCTCCATTGTTTCCCAGCTAACAATAGAGGTCCTTCACAGCCCCCAACCCCTCCGCAAAAAGAAAAATAGAAAGCTTTTGTTGAAATGAAACACTTGGTGTTGGGTTAAATTGAGGGGGAGGAGGAATCTGTGGGGAGGTTACTGATTGGTTGGCTCGTTTTCTTTTTCTTCTGTTTTTCATTATTGGTGCTCTTCTGTAACTCCCTAATTAGCCTTTGATAATGAGTTGATAATGTAACCAATTAGGTCATTCGTCAGCCAAGTCGAGCCCACGACGCCTCCCTCCCTTTTTTTATTTCTGAGCCTCCTAAATAGGTCTTGGTAGAGCTTGCTAATTAAATAAAATATTTTTGTGATAGCTGAATGGAACGCCAGCTCGTCTGTTGAATGAGGCCTCGTACAGTATCGCTGCAGATATCCTCAAGCGAAGCTGTTATCTTCCCCTCCTATCTATCGTCGCTGGCAACACCGAGGCAACACGGAGGGGTGGAGATGTCGCTTCTGCCTCTTTGGCAATAAACTCACAGTTGTCTCTCGCGTGATTAATTAGCCCTTTTAAAACTCTCGACGCCTCTCTAACACAAGACTTTGGGGTGTTATTTGTGTCATGAGACTAGTGTGAAACTAATTATGTTGATTTTTCAAG